CACAGTGTTATCCAATAGTTTATAAGGCTCGAGTCTTGAAAGATAGAGCCCTGAACAAAGCTGCTTCAGTGTATTTGTAAATCCGGCAACAAATTGCAAAAAAGCAAGCAAAAGGTCCTGTCTCTCTGATGCTTCAGAACTTATTCGAATATACGTTCAGGATTTGAGGATTCTGAATTGAATATCCGCTTATTCGGCGTTGTGAAATTATTAGTCTCCTTGATTTTTCAACACTGTCACCCATCAATTGCAAAAATTGTTTGACAAACACGCATCCAACCCCAATTCCATCATTGATACGCTTACGAAAGCCAATTCTCACACCTATACGGTCCTAAAAATCGCATTAACTGACACCGCTGAGATAGTGCACTTATTGTGTGTAATTGAGTTGCTGACGTGCGCTGTGGCTTATAAGACCATGAGAAAGCAAAGTCCCTTTTTATGGGTCATTGGCAGTCAGTAAGAGCCATTCCAAGAAACGCCAGCCTCTAGATTAAAGCAATACATCCTATTTCACCTTAGTCATGAGCTTTCACAGTTTTCACTATGATTAATTATTACGCACAAGGGATGGACACGTTTTTGGCGTTCTTAAATAGCCTTTACTTTTAAGCAGGCAAGGGTTAATTAGGTAAGGATATACACTCTTTTCTTTTCCTAAGTCTATGCCAATAGCTAAATAATTATGATATCTGCAGTTGAATACTTTCATAGAACTTCGAATTTCGAGACAATTAATAGCTCGCTCACTAAAAAGCCTTTTAATTTATTGCTCTCAAAGAAAAGATAGCTTTGTCGAAAAAAACATTTAAGAACTCTTGCAGATAAACGGCTAGCACTTTTAAAGGTGGCATTTTGTGAATACAATGAAATAGGCGTTTGTTATAGCAAAGAATCCGGGAATAGCTAAGGCTCTCCTAATCTGATGGCAAAATATTATCAAAACAAAGCTTTGAACATTGTTATTCCGAGTTAGTGTTCATTTTTGATTTTCACCATATTTTGGATTGCCAATCGCCAAAGAAGCTACAGCTAACCACCGTCCTTTAAATAACCATAAAGTAAGTCAAAGTGACCTCATTTAAATGTTTATTACAAGCACCACCGAGTTAGATGTCTCCTAATGAATAGGAATCAGGGAGCACGGAAAAGCACAAAATTCCTAGTAGGGAGGAAAACTTGGGTTCTGCCACCGCCAGTCACAATTTTGTAATGAATGTGGATTGAGTGTGGTCCCAACATCAGGTGGTAATTTAGAAATATTTACGCTCTCACTTGACTGAGCAGAATACTTAATTTATTGGAGCGAACTGTTAGTTTCAATCCACTAATTTTTTTACTGCAAACCAATTCGTTTGGCATGTGTTAGGTCATTCACTCAAGAAAATTTTTACATCCCGTGAGCACATACTTTTCACTAGGATCAAATGTCAAATTCTCGGGGCATAGTATCTTTTTCTTAGGTGGCGACCTAGCCGTAATGAAGCAGTGAAGACCAGACAAACAACATCCCGAAATCAAATTAAGTGTACGTGAGCCTGTGTTGCTGTGGGTGGGTAGAAAGAGCAGAACGCCATCCGGGGTCGCGTTTTAGATGAAATGATTTGTAATTGACTGTGGCACCGTCACACACTTGACACGTGCGTCGGCTTTTCCAACTTTGCACTCATTAAAATTCAAATAAGTGTCCGATGAATTGCAGCACCGCGGAGCTGCCGCCACCTGCTTTCCATTTCGTGAATGCGAAAACACACATGCTTTGCATTTAAATTACTTAACAGCATCCGTCTACAAATAATTGAGGTGGTTAATGAAATTCACATGGATTAAAAGCTTTTAAAATGAATTTCAATTGCTTCTCTAAATACCGCCGAAATGCTTTGGTCGGTACCCATGGATCCGTGTGTCTGGCAAGCAAAGGTATAATTTGCTATGCCGGAACAGGCCTCTTTACTATTTGCATTGAAAAGACAGTAACTTCAGTTGTAAAAATTCTTTTCGATTTTAGGACAAGAGTTTGGTCTTTTAAGCTTCATTTAGCTAACAATTACATATTAATCACATCAATTTGAATGGACATAGTGTTAAAGCGGGCTTGAGAAGAATCAATGGCCCAACATAAATTTCAAGCAAGTTATCATTCTAAAACTCTTATCGATGTGAGTTTTTTCAACAAAAACTAACAATTTCGATTCTGTTTGCACTAAATATTACGGAATTTTCAGCAACAAAATTTGTCATCTGGTTTTAAGTCATTATTCCCTTACAATGCAGAGAATCACTCCAACACCCCTAAACAAGCGTGTTTTCATCCGATGACTGTTCGCAACAAATAATAAACTCCAAAATTATAATTCTACATAGGTTTTTTAAAGATGCAAATGACAAATAGTAGAGTTCTGTTAAATGAACTTGAGCTCACTCAAAACTGCCAATGTACTGTTACGGAATGTCATATTACCCGCTAATAAACCTACCAAGCTTACGTTTGAATTTTTGTTCCAAAGGGACCTAAGCTATAGTCCTGGAATTTTATAAATTCGGATATGATTTACAAACATTTCAAGAATTTTACACTAACCAAAAATAGTGGGACACCAGCTTTGACTAAGTTCCCAATTTTTTGCCGCCACACCACATTGCCCGATGGAACAGCCAAGCATAGGACTTAGGAATAAAAATGCTCTAACTCAACCCATGCATGGCGTGACTATGGGATGGCATGATCGTCTGTAGTGCACTAGTTCCTGGATTTATCGTCATCCATTCAGAACAAAGTGCGTGAAAAAGAAGTTCTTGTTACCCCTCATGACCTCAGATATAATGACTGCAGTGCCCGTAACAGCAAGGTAACCACACAAATAAATTTAAGCACTTAGAATAGTTTAGATAGGTCTTGCTAATGCAATAAAGTCTGGATGATAGTCTTATCTACAGCAAACTTATTAATGTAGGAACGAATCGCAGCGGTTGGAGTAAGCATAATAAGACTATTAATCAAAATGCAAGAAAAAGCATCTTCTCAGGCAAATCAGCAAACATCAGGTTGTTCCGATCGGCATGGCAAGTGGGGATCTAGTTCTTGTGCACCAACCAGAAGGGGCACAGAAAGGCTTTCAGTAGTACCCTTGGGCGTTGTCTGATGGCTTATCGACGCGTTGTAATACATTGTCACAATCACGAATATAAGATACTAGGTGTGGTCCTGTCATGTCTTCACATATTGCCTCATGCACCAGTTCCATGGGGCTTGATTGGTGAACGAAAAAAAAACTAAGGAGTTGGTTGGTGAAATGATGACCCACCTTGCCTGGAACTCTGCGACCTATCGAAAACATAAAGTCCGTCAGATGAATCGGTCGATGAACGTGAATATGTAATGTGTCTTACAAGATCGGCGAAGTGGTGCGAATAAATTGAGGTACGAGTGAAGCGGGAGTCTAGTGCGCGAAATTCAAAAAAGCAACCTGTTGAAGGTTGCATCCGTGTTGGCTGAATTTATGACCCTACATTAAACCTTGGAAAAAAATTCGGCTTTAGAAAATCTATCTCTCTAAGAAACATTGCCTTTTGATGATAACCCGATTCTTACAGTCCATTAATGATGTCTTCTTTGTGTTGCTGGGAGCTGATGCAAATATTTTTTGATGACCTTCATTAGGCTGTAATACTTTAAACAGTGATTTAAATTAGGTCTTCATTCTGTTTTTTGTTTTCTACACTTCTCCACATCTACGCATTATGCACGTCGTGCAATTTATTGGACTGTTAGGTACACATACATAAAGTTTTGGCCCGTAAATTTTAAAATCCTAAAATCGGTACATTAAACTTTTTCGTCAGCGTTTTATCTTTCATGAATCCCATGAAAAGCTGTGCGTTTAGAAATTAAAGTAATTCAGAAAGCTTGCAAGCACATGTGTCATATAAATATTATAGAGTCTAATGGAGTGAAATCTTGTGAATTTACATCCACATTTACACGATCGCATTACATAATACAGCATCTAATGCATTTTTTGCTATGAATAAGACCCCAAATTTGTATATTGGATGAATGATTATATTGCTATGTTTATTCCCTTTAAATGTGAATTTTTCTGACAAATGAGACATTAAAAATGGCAACATGCATGCCGAAAGGACACCTTTTTAAATCACACGTCTTTCGATGACGCAAATATTAGCTATCTCAAGAATTTAATCGTTCATTGAAACCTAGTCTAAACTTTTACTCTTTTGCCACATTAGATATTGATATAATAATTTGGAATCAGGAAATAGAATTCATTGAGTTGGCAATTAAAAACAAAAAGTGATCAACTTAAAGCAGGCAAAAGTATAAATTAGGTTTTATGTAGAATTTATCGCCTAATGCTCCTGCCATGTGTATTAGGTACAAAAATAAAACACTAATAATATTAGTGATAAGAGGAACAGAATAAAATGAAGTCGACTATACAGATTATTTGCTACATAATATATGTATCAAAGCCTTTAATATTTGAAAAAAATTCTGAGAGAATTACACTAAAGGAGAGGGTATTTAGGTGGATTTCATTGATCATTTCCCCAGGAGCTCCATAAACCCCTCCCTGAAGTCATGAATTCAAAGCAAAAGTTCACTAGCCCCAAAACTTACCGTTCATAAAATAATGAGTTAAAATTCGCTATATCTCATTTTACATTATTCATTTAACCTGTCTAATACCAGGAAATCCTAAATCGGGTGACAAACGTTAACAAAAATCTGTGTGCACTAATTCACTAAACCACTAGTCAGGATAGGTCATGGCTGTTTAGTGCATCCACATTTACAGAATATGATGAATTTTTGGTAACATTTTATTAAGTAACAAAAAAAACAATAGGCTATTATAAAATTTAATGCTTCTTAATGAGGAACTTGAGAAAGATACGCTGACTACAGCATTAGTTTTAATGCATGTTTGATTCGTGTGGGCAGTATAACTATTTGCTGACGGGGCTATTGGGCAATGCTGGACTTCTTTGTCATCCTGAGCAGGGGTGGCATTGTATTATGGTACATTAAAAACACGACGGAATGCATTAAAACGACAATAAATACATTCCTAAAATCTCTTATACTTAAAGTATGATATGTCCTCAATTCAGTTTATTTACAGGAGAATATTGGTAATGCTGCGTTTGTGCACGAAAGCTTTGCATTGAAACACTTAATGGATAACGAATTCGATTTGTTGTTTATTGTAACACATGATTGTAACTACAACGCTATTTTTAGGCGGGATATCAGCAGGTTCTTCAACTCAGCTATGTGGACAAGTTCTTAACGATGATTGCCTTGGAATTTCGAGATAAGTACAAAAATGATCTGCTAGAAAAGAACCTTTATGGGTATTTTGAGGGTTTTCGTTCCTGCTTTGACTCCAATTTGCGTGCAGTTGAAGAGGAATCGCGAAGGTCCAGCAGGCCTGCCAAGTATGTGGATTTTAGTTAGAACGAAACCGTAGGTCAATGCGAACATTTGCCGATTCTGAAAAATCGAAGAAAACTATTGCGTCAATGATCGTCAACAAGGATAAGCAGGGAGCTAATTCAACTGACAAACCTAGTGTAATCCACAGGTCCACTCCACCCCCTCTTTCGGAGTCAAACGTCGGTATGTCTCCATATCAGTCTCATTTCTATACTTTGACGCAGTATTCTGGCAAGATCTTACAATTTTAGACCACTCTCTTCAACCTAAAAAGGTTAATTTACTCTCCCCGAAAGCTCGTATGGCTAAAAGCCGCAAACTCAAGGAAAGTTCCACGTAAGTGCCAAACATTTGAGTCAAAGCATTGCATGAATCAATTTTTTGGTTACAGTTATTCATTTTGTTCTTTTACGTGTAAATATTTTTTGAAAAATTCGCCTCATAAAATGAGACGCACTGCTTTCTGTTCATTGTTCAACACTTAGCTCCTTTACAGTTCCTTCACATAATAGCAGCACAATATGTAGCAGATGGAATAATGTTTACTTTTAAACGTGCACTGTAGAACATGTTCTAATGATTTTATTCTTAATGGGTGTGGATGAGGGAACCATTGAGGCACACGAAGTGCGTGGTGTCAGTAACGGTGGCCTTTCGTTTTATGTATGTTATAAATAACTATATAATAGTTTCCCAGGTCCCGGCTTTTATTTCAGTCCCTCAGATTCACCCACCTGTCCTAAGCCAGGAAAAAAGGGGAAAGTGAATCGTCGTTGGACCAATGAGGCGACGGGTGCTGAAGCCGCCGCCCTCGACTACAGCGCTGGTGCTACTTCTAACGGTGTGTCGGAGAGTGAAAATCAGAATGGTGGGGATAAAGTGATTGGCCAAGGACTGAGACTAACTGCCAGTGAGGCTGAAAGCCTAGCCAAACTCCGAGGGACTCTTCAGGAGGGCTTCGACCAGTTAGAAGTTTCATCCGATGAGAATGAGGAAGATGAAATACCAAGTTTTGAGGAAGATGGGCAGTCGCTGACACGGCCACATGCTGAAAATGGAACCACAGTAGGTCTTAATGCTATTTTTGGTTAAGGCATGCAGTATCTCCAAACCATTTATAGGGTATCTCTGATGGCTTCATGAATGTACTGGACATCATCACGCGTTAATCAATTTATCTCTCCAAACCACGTTATTTACTTATTTAGTTCCACTTTTTCGCACAACACAGAAGGAACGCGTTCTCTTTCTGGCGGAATTTATTAGTTGTCTGTAGGTGATTTGAGAAAGGTTAATAGCTAATAACGGACTTAAAGCAAATGGAAAATAACTGTTTACCATCTAGACACTCAGTTGCCAATTAGCAATGCGAAGCAAAGGTATCGCGTTCTAAATACCCGTTATTGTTTCCTCAAAGTTTTCAGTGGCCAGATTGTCTAATCTCTAATACGGCCTATTCATGCGCGACATTGCTGATTTACGGACCTAACTGCAAATGAGCCACTCGTGATTCCCTTTGTACTCCTCGAATATGTTTAGTTAATTGAGTTTAATTTATCGAGTGATTTATAGTTGGTAACTACTAATATATGCTTTTGCTGGCAAACTAACATGGTGTTTTTTATGAAAGAAGTCCTCCGGCTTTTTGTCGGGCCTCATTCAAAACTTGAAAACAACAGCCACAGGCCGTGTGCTTACACACGAAGACATAAAAAAGCCTCTGGAGCAGTTGCGTGATCATCTAGTGCATAAGAACGTTGCCTACGAAATAGCGAACCGCCTCTGCGATGGTGTGGCCGAACGCCTTGTAGGAGTACAACTAGGTCGTTTCGAACGTGTCGGTCCGCGGGTCCGCGCCGCCCTGGAGGAGGCCTGCACCCGTCTTCTTGCATCTGGTCGTCGTGTTGATGTCTTGCGTGACGCACTCGAAGCACAACAATCAAGAAAACCGTATGTCATCGTCTTTTGCGGTGTAAACGGCGTCGGTAAATCGACAAACCTAGCCAAAGTGAGCACTTGATGTTGATGCTTATTGGTACGCCCCCCCCCCCTAATCGAGCAACTATGCGTAGAATTCTCGAAAAATAACAGCGGTTGGTGTAACTCCAAGTTTTGATACCACCATCCGTCATCAGGAGACTTTGCTAAAAGATATCCACATGACAACCACTCAAAAACAACATACGTTCATCCTGATCCAACCTACACCCATCTGCAACTTTTTAATGCAGCGTTTAAACCTTATCGAACTGCATTTATGCAATTCTATAGCTAATGGTTGGCTTATATGTTGAATCGCCATGTTTATTCATGATCCACGAAAAAGCGCTGCCTTCTGTTTACTTCTTCGATTATATAGTTTTTATACGGCCTCTCAGTAAAGTAGCAGCTAGGTCCCACTGTCTGTTTCTCTTGGCTGACTGGCGAACATTTCGGATTTAACCTCCATTTGGCTGACGTGCGAAATATGCCCACCTGCTGAGCACCGTTGAGGAGTCGAAAATCTTTCTGTTTAGATTGCCTTCTGGTTGATCGAGAAAAACTTGAAGGTCCTTATAGCTGCCTGTGATACATTCCGTTCTGGTGCTGTGGAGCAGCTTCGGACTCATGTACAGAAACTGAACTTCATCCATCCTCCTGAACGTCATGATGGCCACACAATGGTCGAGTTGTTCGAAAAGGGCTATGGGAAAGACGCCGCCAGCATTGCCATGTCGGCTGTTTCTTATGGTATGCTTTCACTGTATGACATTCTGTGAATACGCCTCCCCTGCAACACTTGAGAGAACCATTACTGAGCTAAGTGTTTGGATATTCCAGTGGATATTCCAAGCCCATATAATTCCACCTGTCAGTACTAATTGTCTTCTTTAATTAAGTAATTTTATGCCGATAAACCCAATCAGGTGTGGTACTGTTTTTATTCCTAATTTCAGCCAAGGATCGTCACCTTGATGTAGTTTTGGTCGACACAGCTGGTCGGATGCAAGACAATGAACCACTCATGCGATCGCTTGCCAAGGTAAGCCCTCCACTTCATTTTCCATCAGCAGCATGTGTCTGCAGTACAAGCACAATGTATAAAGTGTTCTCGTATATTTCTGTTCAGGACCCATAAATTTGGCTTGATTTCTGTCTTAATAAATTTTTCACAGGGCTAAGTTATTAGCCATTACCGTTAATTGAGCGGTAGCAAAGTCTAGGGTAAGTTCTGGCCGTAATATTCACTGATGGCAGATGAGAACTTTATCACTGCAAATGTGCATTTAATATCGTCTAATTTCGTGTACTACAGTAATTATCCTAGGGCTTGTGTCTTTTGACGAATCGGCCTGTCTAACATTTCATGTATTTTTGTTAAAGAAGTTGAACTCGTGGGGATTTAACGACACTTATTGAATTTGTTCTAATTTGTTGTAAACCACATTATCCAAAACCCTTCTTGCTTCCGGCGCGCCCTTTTTTAACTTTGGGACAATTTAGTTTTGTACGTTCGAATGTGCTATTTAGCTTTCTACTGATTGGTCTCTCTTTTTTCATGACTTCATGTGGCATTGATGAATGGCTATAAAAGGTTGTCGGCTTTTCTTGCCCATGTGGTTAGCAGTCTTTGTCATTGAATCAGGTGAAATTCCTCGCCTCTCAAAATTACTCATGAGAAATCGTTTCTAACATATCGTTCATTTTTGTTCATAAACCCAATTAATATTTTAGCATCACATCAGTGTTGCTGTTGCATTGAACAGTAGTGCCTGTAATGATGATGCTTAGAACTGTTTCATCATTGACGTCATTTTTGTTATAGCTAATAATTGTAAACGAACCAGATTTAGTTCTGTTCGTTGGCGAGGCTTTGGTCGGAAACGAAGCAATTGATCAACTTGTGAAATTTAACCAATCCTTGGCCGACTTCAGCAGCACTGCAAAGCCCCACACCATTGATGGCATCGTGCTCACAAAATTCGATACCATCGATGACAAGGTCAGTTTTATCATCTCAGCCATTCAATCGTATTGGTTGACTTTGAACACGTTGAAGTGCCAGTAAAACCATCATTTCGCTTTAGTGCGGAAAAAAATATTTAATAATTCTACTTTTATTCACATGAACACAAACGATGAAGATTCCTTATTATGGATTTAGATGAAAATGAACATTTCCTGTTCTGGTTGGAGTAATTATTGTCTTAAATTATCCATGAAGTAACTGCCAAAAATTTAAACGTTGTTAACGTAGAGGTCTAGGTGTGGGAAGTGAAACCATTTCGATGTCAGAGTTGTTCAGGTTCCTTTTATGGTATGCCGATACCCCAAGAATATGACTGAAGGAACTGCTGACTCAACTGCTTTTTTGATAGATTATCAAAATTCTCCATATTCAGGCTTTGTTTCTTCATTTTAGGTTGGGGCTGCTGTTTCGATGGCACATATATCAGGTCAACCAATTGTCTTCGTGGGAACCGGTCAGACATATTCGGATTTGCGTCAATTTTCTGTGGCTAGCGTGGTTAAAGCTCTCATGAAGTAGATCTGCGATTCATCCCCACGACCAATATTTTGTATTTTTTTCGTCCTTAAGTCTCCAACATCTGACGTCATTGCTCCATCCTTGCGCTGCCTCTCGATCTCCATAAATCTTAGGCTGCAGACTCATAATTTGTCATTGCTTTATTTTACATGGTCTGCTGAAAATCAAATTGGTAATTTGTGCTTTTGCTGTCACGGTTTTCATTACCAGTCCTGCAGACAACTTGGGAAGACCATAATTTCACGCTTCATACAAAGCCCAATTGATATATTCGTTTTGTGATCGAGGACAGGTCTCAGTGATGTGAGCGGTATTTATTAGCCTTGAACCTCTCTTTTGGTTACGTAGGAAATCTGGGGTTCGCATTTCGCGTGGTGGGATTTTAATCTCATGGGAGTCAACAGGGTGATCTGCAGGGGTCGTAGTGCAGCGCTGGATAGTGTGAGGTCTTGTGGTCATTAATTGTCCATATAGGGTTTGAAATTAGTTTTTATTTTGCCCGCTGAACTCGAATGAAATTATGAGCTACTGGACAAAGATTTTATAACTAGGCTTCCCGAAATTATTTCGACTTTGGGAGCGTCTAGGACTATTCTGAGAAACCAATTAAAACTTGCGGTAAGTGCCTCTGGAGGGGTTACGGAATTCACAAGGACCATGTTTGATAAATCATCTACGTATGTAGTTAGTTCGTGGTCCTATAACTGCAAAACATCGGATTTTGTAATGATAAATATTGCATATAAGGCTGAGAGGTCAGTTTTGTCGGTGGGCTGAATTCTGCATGTAAAAGAACACATAACAAATCTAGTTTAGAGTGCTTGATGGCAAAATAACCCAGTTTAAATGCATATTTATTTTACGTAAAAGTGTGTGGTCTAAATTAAAAAGAGTCCCCGAATAAATTTTGGAGAACAGAATCCCAAAAGACTTAAGAACTGGAGAAAAAGCAGCTGTTGTGACAACTCATATGGATGCTTTAAGAGAGATTTATTATGGTAGCAAAAAGTGTTAAATCCGCTAAGACATAATTATTTCAACCTCATTAACGCCTTTTAATTTGACACAAAAATTCGGAACTAGCAATAAAACTCTGCACAAGCTGATGATATTATTTAATTACATAAGGAATATTTAAATTCAACAGTTATCAATAATTGCTAAACCAAATAATTGTGTTTAAATATGTCATGTACACAATGCGTTATCTGATTATTTGGACTCACCATCAGGGTTTTTGAGCGATGCCTTCTGACATTTCTTCCATCAAACCTGTCCTTGACGTTAACTCTCAAAGCCATTTATACAAGTTCTGGGAGGATCTGTCTCCTGCTGATCAGGATAAATACTTTAATGAGTTAGTTTCTCTTAATACACAAAGAGTGAATTCAGCATTTCAGGTTATTATTTCTTTTTGTATATTTGCTTTAGGACGCCTTAAAGGTATGCAGTAGATTATAAGTATGGCCATATGCGTATTTTAACACGGCTTCGCTCACGTGTTTTATATATTCATTTGCCCTAACAAGGTATCAGAAAATTCATGTTTTGTTGATGGCCGACTTATGTGCCCTGATCCGTCAACTTGCGGTCATGCGACATCTCTCCGTTTATGTTATCCTGATGAATATGAGCGCTTTGTATCTAAAGGTAACCTTGTATAGTACTGCTTTCCGTGATCTATAATCAGGTCTCAAGGCCATTTCTGAGAGAAAGGTGGCTGTGATACTTCTGGCAGGTGGACAAGGAACTCGACTAGAGTCTGCAAATCCAAAAGGAATGTACGATATTGGTCTTCCATCAAGACGTACTCTTTTTCAACTTCAAGCTGAACGGTTGTTAAGTTTGTGTCGACAAGTGTCAACCAAATGTGGTCAGGAAATATGTATTCCTTGGTAAGTTCTCTGTAAGTACAGAAGTTTCGAAGATATCTCTGTTCACATTATACCAACCGGACTATGGATTTTTGCGTTTATCATTACAGATGTTGCTTTAAGGTACTTTCCTACAAGACTAGAATTTCTTTTTTACTTTTCCGTTGTATTTTTTAGGTACATAATGACATCTGATCAAACTCAAAAGCTCACTGAAGACTTCTTCAGGAAAAATGGATATTTTAATTACCCTGAAGAACATATAATTTTTTTTGAACAATTTGATATGCCTGTTTTGAGTTTTCAAGGCAAAATTCTCATGAAAGACAAAGCATCTCTCTGTTGGTCTCCAGGTAGAACTTCTAAGCTGAATTAGAATTAATAATGCATCCGGAATTCTTTACTATTTAAGGGCACACTGCTAGTGTCATTAAATTCTGTCCAATTTTGCCGTTTTGGTTACATTTTTAATCGAATAATTTAATGGTAATGGCTATGCAAAACAGGGTTCCTGAAACAAATCTATAAAATCTAGGTAAGCAATTTGCGCCACCGTAATAATCTCAAATGGAACACTTCCAATTTTTGTAGTTGCAAAGTATTTGACTGAATCCTCGTCATAACAACAGAATGTCCGTAATAGGCCTTTTTAGCCTCAAATTCCGTCATAGGCCTTTAGCAAACATGCGTGGTCAAATCCGGTTGTCGCAAATGAAACAAACCTTATGAGTTTTCATAAATTTCATATACTTGCAGTGTTGTATCAAATTTAGTTCTGTTTAAAAAAGTTCTTTTCTTAGGTCCCGATCATTTTGATGAAGAAATAAATGAGAATCAGTTCTTAATTTCCAACATTCCTCATTCAATTTTTAACCAATCCAGCATCTCAAACGCTGAAATCTAATGTTCAATTAGTTCTTTGATTTAGGATTGAGGTTTCTATGCGACATTCACTAGTAAATGCAGTCTTTTCAAAAATCATGATATTAGGCTAATTTTTGTGAAAAATCAGTTGTTCTAAGTTTTGCTTTATAACGAAAAAATTGTAAAGCTAGTTTTGTTCTTTTCTTCTCCGTGGATGTGGTGCGTTGTAACCTACTGCTGTGTGTCTTACCCAGTTAATTTAGCCATCGTATAACTGGTTTTTTGTCGTTGGTTTCATAAAATCCTGTTTGAAGTTGTTTGCATTTACCGACTATTTCGTAAATCGCGTTTTTGAATCAATTTATCAAAATTTTGAGCATTTCTTTGAGCATTGCCAATTAACGTTTTTATGACTTTATGACCTTTGTGTATTGCTTTTAGAGGGGAATGGTGGCCTGTATCGGGCTCTTTTAGATAGGGGCATCCTGCAAAATATGAGAGCACGTGGCATTGACTACGTTCACATCTATGGCGTTGACAACGTGCTAGTCCGATTGGCCGATCCTGCTTTTATCGGATTCTGTATCTCAAGAGCCGCAGATTGTGCAGTCAAGGTAGTTGAAAAGACCGACCCAGCTGAACCGATTGGCGTTGTTGGTGTGGTCGACGGGAAGTTCCGGGTAAACTTTAATACGTTGATTTATTCAATAATTTTGACAGTAAACATCATTGCAAAGGAGCAATTTAGCATTGAATTTTCTGAAATTATAACGAACCTCGGAATATTGCGTTTACTTGTTGCTTCTATATCTTAATATTTCCTTCGATAAAAATGCGAATCATCATCATATTTACCTAATGCATTGAGAAGTTCCCTTAGTGGTTGTGAGATCGCGTCAATTGCCTTATTTATATGTAGGTCCTCCAGCCTTCTTAATTGCTTGTTTGACTAAATGCTTACCAATTTCCCACCTCAGCTCGAAAAATAAGGGAAAAGTGGAATCAAAACACATGGAATCAAACTATATTTCCTGCTTCTTATCCTTCGTTGCTTGTTTTGTCTGTGTTGTATGTACTTGTAAATTTTCATGCAACACACCACCCAACATTCATCTGTTTATATAGTCTGGTCGGTCTTTTTTGACCCAAATTTTACTTTATTTTCTCACCTCCTCACCATCATTTAGTTTTCACGAGTGGCCAAATGTCCACAATAGTTGGTAATCTCGCCAGCGAAGAGTGAAACCCGCGTCACCTCTCTATGATTACAACAGCATTCACAAAAAACAAATGATTTGGTCAAGACCCACCAACCATCCCTGGTTACCTGTCCTTGTACCAATTCCAAGGAGTCCTGTAATTTCCTAGCAAACTGTAATAGTCTTAAAAAAATATTTGCGGCCACGTCGATACATGCCTAAATGGAGACTATGGTATCTATCATTAGTCTTTTGTCCCAAGGAAAAGTTAGAAATTCTATATCACAACTAGTATTCATACAATGAAGGGTTCTTCAACCGATGAATTTCCTATAAAATGAATCGTAAACAGCACAGCATCAATTTTGGCTACTAAGCTTGAACCTTCACATATCAATATATAATATGGCAAGAACTCTCTCGGGAGCTAATTACCTGCTCCAGTCTCTCAACAACGTTGGCCACTTCCGATTCGGCCAAAGTGTATCCTCTTCAACGAAATCATCCCTAACCATTTACTTTCATGACCATCATTGCGAACCTCATTGGTTATAAACACTTAACGCAAACTCAATTTAACAAAACGGTGTAGTGCGTATATATTAACAGGCATGCTTTTTTCCTTACCTTTTTTCAAGTCATTATTCGGTGGGTACTTTGTGCTGTACCTGCCTCAACGTCCGTTTAACATCTTGCTTTGTGCCTGGTGTGCAGAGACAAAAACTAATTCACCGGTTCTCGCTGTCTGTGACATGAACGTGTGCACAACAAAGAGCGTTCTGTTTTCATTTGTGTCGTCCATGATACCTAAGGCCTTGCACTATCAACTGTTTATACACTTCTCGTTACCATATTCGGTGTGTGTGCGTTGCGCGTGGTTAATTTATTTCCCATGTACCGCACCACCTATGATGCTCTTACTGCAACCAAAATGTAGTTTTAAAAATAAATCAGTGCATTTATCATAACATCGCATGTTCCGTCTGATTAAACACACTACCCTTCTGTCGCCAGAGAAGACAACAGTTACTGTGGTCCATCGTAGCTTGGTCTTAAGTTGCCTTCTCCTGCAATTTGTACACAGGGACTTTTTTTCTATCCATTGGTGTGCTGTGCTCGCAGAGCATACCAAACTTAGATCTGATAATGTAGTTTAGCCTAAGCATCCAGTCATTTGAAATCCTAGGTATGTTAACGGAAATAAACGAAAAGTACATATTGCTTAGCACACTCTTCGGGTGTCCTTAATGCGCCCTCCGCTGCCAAGTCGCGCAGGTGAGGTCATGCAAGAAATTGCCACCAATTTCAATAGCTGTTTAAGCGTCCACATTAATAACACAGTCCGCTAAAGCCAGGATTTCAATTTTCACCACTGGTTACCCATTGATGTGGTGCATCAACCAAACAGTTTCGCATCGTCTACCACTTTCAGCTACCTAGTTGAGCAATTCTAACTTAAATCTATGAATACAAGTGCTTAAATTATATAGTATTTTGTGTTCCTTAAATGTGCATAAAATCGATTATGGCGAATTGACGCTCTCACACCTCTTCTTCTGTTGATGTCAACTATCGAATACCCACGTAGAACAAAATATTTTTAAACGTTTCTTAGATAGTGAGGTGGAACTCATGATCTCGTGCTCTCAGTCATAGCTGTTAGTTCTATGTGCAACCAGAATAGGGTAAGTATGGACATGACCCCTCATTAGAGACACAGCCACTTATCTCATTTTGTCCCTTTTTACTTGCATCTGGTGTACCTAAAAAGCGCTGAGGATCTTGCCTGTTTTCTAGGTAGTTGAGTACTCAGAAATTTCTCCATCCACAGCTGCTTTGGTGCTGCCGATGCCGCCAAGCAGGATAGCTTGCTGCCAAGACGAGAAGGACTGCGATTCGAAACTCGCAAATTCCCGCTTGCTTTATTGCCATGGTAATATTTGCAATCACTTTATGACCCTCACCTTCCTTGAACGTGTCTGCAACCCCGAGCTGGAATCTCAACTGCCCTATCACGTGGCACGCAAAAAGGTGCCCCATATTGACTTGGAAACTGGCACAACTATCACCCCAACTCAACCGAATGCCTTGAAACTTGAAAAATTCATCTTTGATGTATTCCAGTTCTCTCAGTAAGTTGGACGACATCTTCTGTCTTGTGGGTGGACCTTGTTTTAGCGCCACTTCTAAGCTTCTACGATCCTAATTTCATTGGTATTTTCAGTGGGTTTCTTTTATGATGTCTGGTTTCCACACTTACTTTCCAATTTGCAACAACTAGTCGTCTTCGATGAAAAGGCTGGCAGGCTTGCCCTCATGCCGTTAGGACGTCTTCGCGCACGACTGTGTAGTTGTTAATCGAGCGTGGCTGCGGGAGCGTATTAGCTAAAAAGTTTACCACTTCCTTGTACTTATTCACGGAGTTTGTGAATGTCTCCATCGTGTTTATGTATTTTATTGTGATCGGTACCACGGTCACCGGGGTGGGCTTGTTAAATTTCACAAAATACACAAGCTATTAAACAAATGCGGTGAGTCACTGGAAACCATCAAGTGCAAACGAGTGTTCTTGCTTTGTTGATGGTGCAATTAGGAGCCCTGTAGTCACTAAAATTTCAGAGGTCTTACCCTCGTACGCTCTTAATCGTTGATGAACGTTAAATGTAACTGATAAACCAATATTTGTTATTCCTTTTTAAGTCATCTTAGGTTATAGTTTAATTAGACAAAGATGTTCATTGGCGCCTTGTTGCTAGGGTAATTCCCATGGTAAACATCTGAATCGCAAATACGTTAGTCTCGATTTTAGTTTGACAAATCAGGATTCTGGTTATGTGTTCATTTTTGCCGCTTCTAGGCGCTTCGCCATTTGGGAAGTGGATCGAGCAACTGAGTTTTCGCCATTAAAGAACCGTTCGGGAGCACAAAACGACTGTCCGGAAACCTGTCGCCAATCCATCCTCAATTTGCACGCCTCGTGGGCCAGGGCGGCTGGTGCAGTGTTCGCCTCCGAGGACAACATAAACCGTGACGTCATAGAGATTTCCCCACTAGTTAGTCTAAATGGAGAGGTAGTTTTCTGTTTTGTGCCTAATTAGTGTCCGAAAAGCACTTCTTTCCTGGTGGGTTAGATGTGAGGGTTTCTCTTAAGCTCTAACCTGACCCGGAGTCACGTATTAACCATATAAAGAACGGAACTTTATTCGGTGATGCAGATAAAAGTCGCATACGAACGTGCACATATCTATGGAGCACGCAGTTCTACGCATTTTCCCACACATACCACAAAATGATTATTGAATTTGGCCTCATAACCTATAACATTCACCGAAGCATCACCCTTATTGCCACGACTGCACAAACAGCCTCCTGGCAATAAAATACGTGATTTAAATGTATGATTTACGTTTTCAAAAACTTAGTCAATAAATGTCAATTATTGCGGTAACTGCAGTTATTAATGTATGATTTGTACTTCGTACTTTAATCACTGGATTTATCTTCATTAAAGCTATAATTTCGGAACTTGCGAGGTAGACTTTCGTAGTAAATTATGTGGACGACTACAATGATTGTTAAAGCAAAGGCCATTTACGTTCTTGTATTTTAAAATTTCCTTTCAAAAATGATCGTAAATGTTAGGGGTTGAAATGGTGATCCCATATAAATAAAGTTTAATGAAGTACCATAACAAAGTAAACTTATTTTTGCCGCCATCCGTATGCTCTTTCGCATTCCTGATGTGTTATGTTCTTTCGATTTTTCTAGAATCTTGAGTGCTTGAAGGGAAAGACTATCACGGGAGTCAATATATTAGAACTTCGACGTAGTGAAGATGGTGAAGATGTTCCTACACTAATTCAGGTTAAAGCCAATAACTGATTTTCGGGATTTGTCTGAAGAATGTCTCGCGTTAGAAATTGATAAATTAACTGTCTTTCATACCTAAGTATATATTTTACGTATTTTCTGCCTGCTATATTTATTTAAAGTTTTACTATCGTTGATTAATTTTTGTATCTCATGATATTGGAAAATATGAACTCTTGGATAATCACCAAAGTCCTGTTGTAGTCTAAAGGACATGGAGCTTCAGTCAATGAATTCAGATAGATACCCTACAGTAATGCATATTATTTTGAAGTGGTTACAGCGTTTTTGTTCGTAAATGAATCAGATATCATAAACAGAAACTCTATCCAGGGGCCCTCAGCGAATGTGTATACTTTATCTTTTGTCGAAATGTTGACATTATACTACGGGTGTTCGTGAATCTAGGAGTCTAAAAATGACCATATTAGATATTCAGCTCATCATCAGAATACCCTAATGATGTGTTCCATGTGGATTGACTTTTTTGGAACGTTCTTATTCTAAATGTTCTGGAGCACTTAGGCCAAGTATTCTGACTAATGCGAATTTCGGAAAGTAGAAGTTAAATATATCCAAATTATTGGATTAACTATGTATAGGGCAATAGTTCGTCTTTCATCGTGGAATCGCTTGGGAAAGATCACATCTTGCTAGACTTCCATGAAAAGTTCGCTTCTCCATTTTGGTTAAATTTAGGATATTAGGTTTCTAGTAATCGACATTCATTGTCGGACACGCAAAAATTACAACTCGTCACAAAATGATAGTTACGATTTTTGCCTTAATTTTTTCGGGAAAGTGTGTGCTCGACCGTTTATGACAGAATTTTCGGTTTGAAATAAGAACATACGAGGAAAGAAGTTTTTGTGTGAGTTATTCCTCATTAATACACAAACATGAAGTACGAAAGCAGACTCAAGCATCGATGACACGGCCTTCCAAGGATGCAATTTAGTCGGAAATCAGAAATATCTCCGTATGCATTCCTAAGGGCCAGAATGTATTAAATAGGCCTTTGAGTCACAGGCATTCCATTGCCAAAGTTATTATCTAATTATTTTGAATTAATTGTCTTAGTACCAATCAATTTATCAAAAGTATCAGTAAGTACAGTGCAAGTTCACTATAACCAAGACTGCTATGGCATTAATTAGGGTTCTCAATTTAATTTAAGGTCATTGCAAGGAGCTTAGCATTCAATTCAATAATTTGCTTAGAATTAGGCGTTAGATGTATGTAAGAGCACCAAACACTAATTATCTCAACAATAATTAAAATGCTGAGAGACAATTTTCATAAAAGAAATAATCGTCAAAAATAAAATCATGCATGAAGAAAAGCTCGATAACCCCAAACTAGTCACTTTTTATAAACTCTTATAAATTATCCTTTCATAAATATGTCGGAATAGGATCACTAGAAAAGAAACCCGTGTACATCCAAACAGAATTACGTTCAGAGATATTTTGTACGCTTGCATTCTGACCAGTTGGCGATTTTAGAACTCATATAGTTTGAGTCCCATTTCACCATAGGTTTTGCAAGTAAAACACAATAACATAGAAATAAATTTGATTAAGGGAGAAATTTAAACACAAATTCTCTAAAACCCAAATATAACTCTTCATCCCATCTTAATGACCATGATATTGGGTGAATATTAGTTTTTCTGATTCTGAGGTACTTTGCCCCCAAATAAACTAGTGCTGTACATTTCAAGTAACTTTCATGAACAAAAAGTGTACATGGAAATAAAATATATCAAAGCAATTAAAAGGCTAAGTTACCAAGCTAGCTAGATATTAACAAACTCTTTTTTTAGCTTAATTTACACACAAATAATTAATCCTACACTAACAAGGCCCCTTGAATATATACATTGGTAATGAATAATTTCCCAACGCTGATTCGAAGGCACTAAAAACTTTTTGTGTGAAGAGTAATCAAAATCGGATTCTTTCTGAGTGCCACTTTGACCTCAGCAAATGCATAAATTTGTGTTTCTCCATAGTATTCAAAAAAAAAATCGGTGACGATATTAGTCAAGGAACCGTGAAGAGGAATAGATGGAACTGATCAACGGATGTCAGAATGCTTACCAATGATATCTAGAGAAAAAGGTTTATGACACTAAAAAGGATTCACAATGTTTAAACTTCTCCATGAAGACCTAATAATTACAGGGTAAAGGTGCATTATGGTCAGTGCGGATTATACCATATAATAGAGATTCCGAGAAAAATTTGTCAACCACCCAAAAATAACTATTCATCTTTTGATAACATAAGCAAGAAAATATAGAAAGGGTGATTTTATCACTACAATACCTATGTCAACAAAATCTTCAAAGCTATATTTGGATCAAGGCTCTTGACAGAGTGGAAACGGTTTAGTATCCTCTCTGTAGATATCGAACCACAAAAGGGCCATGGAACATAAATTGACAGGATCCGACCAAGAGATACAGGAGACTACAGACAACATGTAGTTCAACTGATTTATTGTCACAGCTCTAGCATGGTTCTACAGGGTGATATGTCATCAGTTTATATAGGATTTCAATGAACATGGTTACGGAAATGCAATCAAGTAAGTCAACTGAAATGGTATTCGTTCACACTCGCTAATAATGTTCTCTCGCTGATCCCAACAAAATCAACTTTCTGACCTTTGATGCCCAAGCCCTTTGTACTCAGAATTCCAGGGTATGCTTTTCCTCTGGTGGAACCGCTCAGTGTATGAGATGCCAAATGTGAGGCTTCCCTGTCATTTGAAGTTTTTGCTGAGAGAACGAGATCCGATACATCATACTCATAACATAAAAATGGATAAAACGTATATTAATGAGACTTAATTACAAATAATTTTATATGACATTCTGTGCGTGCAAGCCAAGTACATCATAAATCTAAGCCATTGCGCAATTTATGATAATTCCACTTACCATTGGAGAAGGATATGCTAATTTTGATTGGATGAACCTTCATTACGTGTCACATTACTGAGAATGCTGTGTAGCCTAATATACTATTAATCCGAATAATCAATTCCATGGTATTGATTTCTACTCTGCCATGTATTTTAATCGAATTCCCATCATCTTGATTTTTATGTTGACGCGTCTCATTGCTGGCAATGAACCACTTGATCTGGAATATCTGAAACAACGAGTAAAAAGTGTATTCTACCATGCCTATGACAATTACATTTACCACGCCTACCCACTTGACGAGCTCCGTCCACTTTCTTGTGATGGACATGATACTTGGGGCAGCTTCTCCTTGACACTCGTCGACTCACTCGATACGCTTGTTGTATTGGGCAACTATTCGGAATTCCGGCGTGCCGTAGACCTCCTTCTCACTAGTATCGACACGAACAAGAACGTCAATGTTTCTGTTTTCGAGACAAATATTAGAGGTTCGCAATTTTAGTGACACTATTGTTCAGTGGTTGGGGGTCTTGTTGCGGCCCACTTACTTTCACGTAAGGCTGGACTAGAAACGGAGCCCGGTTGGCCATGTCATGGAAGATTACTTAATCTTGCTGAGCGTTTTGCGAGTAAACTTCTTCCAGCTTTCAATACACCTACTGGGATGCCGTACGGAACAGTTAACTTGGCTCTCGGTGGGGTTCCACCAAAGGAGACATCTGTAGCATGTGTGGCGACAATTGGTACTTCGATTTTAGAATTTGGAGCACTTTCGAGGTTGACAGGTAAACGACGTCTCTTGTTGTGCCACATTTGACTTCCTTCGGCGTTAAACAACTTAAGCAAATAGGTGATTCTCGCTATGAGGAAGCAGCACTGAATGCTCTTCGTGCCTTATGGACTCATAGATCTGATTCGGGACTCGTCGGGAATCACGTGAACGTAAGTAATGGAGCCTGGATTGGAAAAGAGGCGACTATAGGTTCCGGAGTCGACTCGTTTTTCGAATATCTTTTGAAGGGCTCCATTATGCTACGTCTCCCAGAACTCGATGCAATGTTTCGCGGTAAGTAGTTTAAAATACACAAACGTAAATGTTTAATAGCGTTTAAGGATTGGTCCTCAATTGATACCCTATAGAACACAGCTACAAGTATCTTGTAGTACAAAGTAGGCATTAATGATGTGTTTGGTTGCAGTTTGCTGTCGCATAATTGCATGATATGTTTATGTTGAGGATTGGTTTATTTGAGGCTTCGGATCGATACACAGAAACACCTAAGTAAACGAGAAGTCCAGAGAAAACGGGGATTATGGTTTATTTAGCTACATTAAATATGCGTCTTTGTACTAGTTTAAAAATTTGCGAAATGTATAGAAGTCATAACCGCTGGTGACCGAAATCTAAAGGTAATAGATAGAAACATCTGGTTGATTATTTTACGCTGTGTTCAGGAATCAGAAAAGAGCGGGGAGAACGGGGTTGGAAGATACGAATTAATACGGTTCAATAAATAGTTTTTATGTAATAATCTCGCTATGCTTCTCCCACTTTCCCAGTTATCAGTTGTGGATTCATTGGCATCGGGCGTGCACCGACTACTAGAGTAGTTTTACGGAAATCATCCAGTTTGTTTTTTTTTTTCAGTTACAATTGCTTTTTTTATGCCTAGGAGTAGTCTTTCACACTTGCACATTCATTGCAAAAATATAAGCGATCCATGCACCATCAATTGATTCCATTTGCGGGTGGAAAGCGCTCTTATGCTAACGAATGTGTCGTCGTCAAAAAGCATATCCTGTGGCAATGTGATAAGAATTATGTCAGTAGTATTTAAGACTTATTCTCGTTGGCGTATAACAATGTATCTAGTAGTTTTGATCTTGCATTTGGCATTATAAAAAAACATTATTTGCTTTAGAATATCGAGATGCAATAAAGAAGCATTTAAAGTTTGGTGCTTGGCATGTTATGGCTACAATGGATGGAGGTACTATCACGAAAGCCGTGTACCAAAGTCTGGAGTCATTTTGGCCGGGTGTTCTGGTGAGGCGTTTTCGTTATCAAAATAAACACACACAAATCGGCCTTAATAAGAGGCATAATTTCTAATCCCTTGTTAGGCCATGGCTGGAGAGATCGAGGAGTCAAAAGAGTTGCTGATTGCTTATCATTCGGTATGGAAAAAGTATGGATTTCTACCCGAACTTTTTGATGTACCGAATTCGAGACCGGTTGGAAGACAAAGCGCGTATCCTCTTCGCCCTGGTAAATCGACAGGTTCCTGTCCTCCTTTCCTTTTCTCATTATTCCGTTCAAATTCCAGTCATTTAATACCTGATCTGGGTCTGTGTTTCATTAATAGAATTCATTGAATCGGTGTACCATCTTTATCGGGCCACAAAAGACCCATATTTATTAGAAATGGGTGTGGATGTACTTACATCCATTGAAAAGGAAGCAAAAACACCATGTGGATTCGCGACGGTGAGCCTTCTTTCCGAGTAACCACTAGGACTTACACTTTACATTTTGCATAACCATAGTGTCACACTTCGGCATTAGTTCCTATTTATATCTATCCTAAAAAGCAAGCCATTAATTGCGTCTTTATCTGCGGTTGCTCCTGGTTATTAGCGGTTTCGTCCCTTTCGCAGATTCACGACGTCCAAACACATACTAAAGAAAATCGAATGGAGTCCTTCTTCCTTTCGGAAACGGTGAAATATCTATACCTCCTTTTTGACGAAGAAAATTTTGTCCACTGTACGCCATCATCGGTATCTGATTTAATCCAACCAGATGATGAAGGTGGCAATTGCGTTGACGGCACAGGCTACATTTTCAATTCCGAGGCCCATCTCCTAGATAGTGGTCTCATTCACTGCTGCTCTCTGCAGCGACTTCGCGAACATGAAGTGGTGAGCAGCGAAGAATCCCTTCCACAAGATTTGGGTCTACATAAGAACCTCGCCAGCCTTGTAAGCGAGAGTTCTTCATCCTCGTCTTCACTAACTGACACCATTCTACGTGAAATAGACAACACTTTTGAGGAAATTCTGTCACCGAGTGTGACGTGGCGAGGACAAAATAACAGTAACGAGATGGACAACTGGGTAGCAAATTTGTGGCAAGATTTAAGCGGACTCGTTCTACTCTCGAGCAATACTAAAGAAGATGCATCTATACCTTTGGAATATACACCGCCGGACATGCAACGAAAAGCTACAAGACCCCTAATGAGCTGCCCAACTGTACCTTTTCACGTTCGTCTTAACCCAATGCGGGATTTAGACTATCGAAACCTCAATTAAGTGATACCCTGCACATTTAAAGTCTTTCATCGCGCATGTCCCCCCCAACATTTACATTTTTACATTGTACATTCCTTTTCGATAAATAGAGCTTACGCTGAGACCATTAGACCTGAAAGTAATGCGCATATTTGGAGTGCCCAGACACCTTAGCCTATTAAGGAACGTACGATTATATAGCCACCATGACTAGATTTAGACCAAACGAGAAGCGCATGCAATTGTTTAAAGCGCTTTTTTTCAAGTAGTCTAGTTTGGGGACGTCAACCCAACATAATTTTCAAGTGTATGTGCCAACCCACTAAATGTACAATTGCTAGCAGTCTTTGGGACCGTGGTCTGCTGTGGCCACAAGTTTAACCAAATTTCTGCGGTGGCACCCGTTTAAGGGATGCTTACAGGCCCCTGTGGCAAAATGAGGGTGTACTCCACACCACAAACTGCAAAGTGTCAGGACGGAGAAGTGGACAGAGATGTCACTTCTTGTTACTTAAAAGAATGTTTTTTTTACTCAGATCTTAACCAACTCGCAAGGGTCGATTGAGTTTAGCTACATGGAAAACAAATAAGTCAATGCAAATTGTAACAAAAGCGCGTAAAACGATGAAGTATTGTGTACACTTTACAAGACGGCGGGTATTCAACATCTGCTCATCGACGGTATCGGAAGCGTTTAAAGTGGAACCAGAGTTGAAAAATGGTGTTGTGGAATTGACATCGGAATCCATGCTTGTATGAGTACTCCCATTCGCGGTTAACGATCTTAAAAGCAATGTCTTCGTATGGAGGGCCCGCAATAAACCGAAGGATTTCGAAATCGGGTTCTTCCTCGCAAGGCGTTCGAGTGTACGTTGGCGTCTTGGTCATATCGATAAGGTCAGGGTAAAAAATATTGAATTTGTATCCTTGCACAACCTTCGGTGGAGGATTGTCTAGATCGTAGTGGGTCTGATTGTATTTGTTCCAGACAAAACCCGTGTGCACACGATTAAAGAAACGCGGCTTGCGTGGACGGTACTTATCGGACCACAGGAATGACTGGTCCTCGAGAGGTGCCTATATAGAAGCAAATTTCGATTAATGAGAAGAACGTTACTTAGAATTCATGGCATGGCCATTTTCTATGGTAAAAGAAAGCTATAGGACTGAGAGCACTACTACTTTTAACTCCGAAGGTATCGACCAGCAGCCTCCAACTGTGAAAATGAACTGCGGCAACAGAATCAAAAAAGAATGAGTTAGGAAAAGCAAAGAATTTGTAAAGGGTTTGGTGGACCCGTACAGGACCAATTGGGTGAGTGGGCGATAACCAGAGGTCCGTTGTGTAGACAGCTGTGCGGAATATTGCATAAGTGAACTAAATGCAAGTGCAAAAAAATCATCCCGATAGTCAGGATGATAGCGAGCCAGCAAAGTACAGGTAATGCGGGCTAAAAGTCTCAAGTCAGCGATATTAGTGTTATTAAGACTAGGACTGCCCATAAACGCCTACGTTTTTGGCAAACGATAATAAGGGAATCGGACGACGTACCATAACACTGAATTCAGCATCGCCCTCTTCAACACCTTCGCGAGCCCGTTTCATCAGTTCTTCTTCAGCAGTCTTGCGCAGGGCCCCAGTGTGCATCACATCCTTTCTCTGCAAGGTTGAAAACCCAATGCACTGGAAGTTACTGATTTGTAAGCAAAACTGCAACTTGAAATTCAGTTGAATAAGCATTTTAGTCGTAAATGGCTGATACCCCAACCTCAGAGAAAGTAAGCTGATTTAAATGATCGATAACATATAACATTCGTTGAAAGATCGATTTATCCAATCGGAATATTTCTTGGCTAAAATATGACAAACAAGTGCACCGACTAAAGGTATGTCAATCAGTCACTAATGCCCGATTCAGTCTATTAGAGCAGCAATCTCAATCTCGGTAGAGTTGCTGACATTCGTGATGGCGACAAACGTGGCTTGAGAGCTCGGAACTCCCTTAATTGTGTAGAATGATAGTCAGTACCTTAGAACTACTAATTAAAATAGGTTCGGTGACAAAAAAGCCGACAACAAACCTGGTATTCCAGCTTCGCCCAATCATCTTGTGCGTCATACAAAACAGCATCGATCTCCACATCCGATTGATTCAACAAGACAGGTGAATAAACGGCCGAGTCGTATGGATCTGGTTCATTGGGAATAACTGCAGAATCTGAAGGCGCCGTGGAGGGTCCACCCGCAGATTCCTCTTCAGTTTGATTCGAAGTTACGCTGAGTTGCTCAGATTGCCTCTTTTCTTCCTCTCGATCCTGTTGATCCTCTCCGTGTATTTTAGCTGCGGCTTGCTGCTGCAATTCCCGAATTTTTTCGACCATCTGGTGTGTAGATCCGGAACCACTAGGGAAGATGGGATTCCGGTCGCTGCTAGAAGTAGTAATACCTTGCATCTGTTGAAGGAAAGCAAGCTTTCGGCGCAGGTGATCCTGGTGTCTTTCACGCAGCCGTGTCCGAGCCATCTGAGCGGCTACGAATTGAGATAGTGCTTCCCAATAGCCCACATCGATGCCTTCACCACCACGCAATTTTGGTTGGATCTATTTTAGTGTAAGAGATATACGAATTCTACTCACTACACATTTACATCACCAAATTCGGAAAATGGCCAAAAATCACCTACATGGGACACGATTCAGACAAGCGTGATCAGCTGGCTGCATAGTTTGTTGCTTAAATATGGAGATAAATTCCTACTCACTGCCTTTTAAGAAACAGATTAAGCCAAACTAATATCCATAAATTGTGGTTTTAATGTGCCACAGCAAAAACAATGAAATATTTTTGTTTGAAAGTACAGCTTCTGGCAGTTAAGATTACCTAAATTGTCATGCAAAGAACAGAGTTGAAGTAAAGCGACGTTGGTAAGTGGAAAACAGTTCAACGCGTTTCGACTATAGAAGTCACAACAACCAAACTACTCGTGGCTAACCAACGTTACACATGAAGTTACGTAATCGAAGCAAGTCGACTGCCAACCACAAAATCATAAAAGATTATAAAATGGCAAAATAGAATGGCAATATGATGCAACGATAGGTCTACCTGTCGTTCAAGAGCTGCTAACTGTGCATAGGTTTTTGACTTGAGAGTATCGGCCACAGACTGGAGAACGGAATGGCTGATGTTGGCAGAAACATGCCTCCCCCCATCACAAGGGCCCCCACCATCAGCGGCTTCATCTTGTTTTAATTTTCTTAGCTCATCCTCGACTATCACCGTCATATCCCTCCAATACTCAACGTTTTGGCCCTTTTCCAGCTCCATATAGACAACCTGAAATAAACAAACATGGAACATGGGAGGAAAATTGTCAGACCTGAATAGCTGCATGAAAAAAAACACAAACGTTGGCAACATTAACGCAACAGAAATCAATCTAATCTAAATGGCATGCAAAAAGTTTGAACATAGCAAGCTAACATGCACCGAACGTTTATTAATTGGCTCGTTGTAAGACTCAAAGTGTACATGTAACAAAATAAGGACGAACCTTCAAAACAAATGGAGATAAAACATAAAAACAAACTCACCTTAATGTCAACAAGCAAGTCCTCTAAGTCTTCAATGCTTAATCCAACTAAAAATTGTGTTGGTTCCATTACCTCGATGGCACTGGAAATGTCGCCACTACCAGCCATATTCCCACCTCCTTCGTCCTGGTCAGCAATATACTTAGACAACAAATCAATTGGCTTTGCTCGACCATCGGCAATTCGAATGCGTGAACGAAGTTTGGCCTGCTCAAGGTGAAACGTATCTTCTTGCTGACCCCAAGATTTGTAGTATTCAGCCTCTTTTTCCCGCTGCAGCATCTCCAATTCCTTTTCCCTCTCTTCTTTCTCCCTTTCTCTTTCCAATCGGCGTCGACGAACATTCTCCAACTCTTTTCGGTTCTCTTCCATTTTTTGTGCTTGTAAGGTTTGCAGTTGTGCATTATCAAGGTGCGAAAGACCCTTATTATCAATCTTTTTGCGCCAAACAAACGTCTCCGAGAGGTGTCGATCACCGAATGGATTATCTTCATTCGTATATCCAAGGTAGTCCTTGTCCCAGCCAAGCTTTTCACGACGACGGCGCTCCTTTTGTTCCTTCTTCGCTAATCGGCGCGCACGTTTTTCCTCAGGAGTTTCTAACTCCTTCATCAACGCCTGCAATACGAATAAATTAGGAAATGCAGTTACAGCAGGTAGCAACATAGCCATTAAACTAAAATTATCAAGACTTAGTTAGGCAAAAATTATAATTAAGTTGTGAAGCATTCAAAGCGAGAAGCGCAGACTGAAATTTACTCAGAAATATATATTACCACAATAGCTCAATTGGATAATATTTGGCCAGCAAACGAAAATAAATGATCAGTTGCTAGGCTCTAACGTACAAATATTAATTTACATGGAGAAAAAAGATATAGCAACTAAACAAGCAGCATTACGATAAGCAGTGAGATAGGGTTTAGACGAAGAAACCAGCTGACGGCATAACCACAACATGTTACAAAAAAATATCGAAATTTTTAAACATGTAAATATTAAGTGACACGCATATTTGACCTTCTTTTGACGAATTTTTTCTTTAAGCCTTTGAATTTCTTCTGGGGGGAGGGTAATACTTGGGCTAGAAGAACGCGAGGAAGGACGTGTTGACGATGTATCACGTCTTTGACGCTTGCATGCGGTCTTTTCATGGAGTTCATACTTATGCCGGCTTCGCGAGTTTGACTCATATTCCGATCGGCGCTTATCTCTTGAACGACTTCGTCGATTATTCGAGTGGCCGCTGGATGGCATCTACAAATCAATACAGCATTTAGCAGGCGTCCGTCACACGTTTGAGGAAAAAGGCCCCAATAAGTATAAAACGTTTATTGTGCAAAAATAATTAGGAACCATGTCTAAAATAGTAATCAATAAGTGTCGAAAAACAAGCGAATCCGGCAGCTCCCATGACTCCGGCCTGCAAGCCTGCACGTAAGCCAATGGCTCCACCGACCAGAGCTCCCGTGGCCATACTATTAAGTAGATCAGACCGCCCTCGATACTAAGAAGTTCTTTTTCAATGTCATTTCTTACACTTTCGAGTGCACATTCTGTACCAGCGAAAAGAGCACCGATTACAGCGAAGTTTTTCCCATGAGACACAGCACGAGCGTACATTTCCTTTGCGACCGTTTTCGTGGAGACAGTTTCAGTTCCCGTCACAGTGCTAAGTGGGTCGATACTGGCTGTGAATAGTCCGAATATACCACCCAAAACAAGCCCTAAATTAAAAAGTTGCATATGAAAACAAGGGAATTACCCCCAGCACAACTTATAGCGGATTTGAAAGCACAACTGTCCATGACCTGGTGAACACGAACTTCATCAGGACTAAGTAGAGGGATGGTGGGAACTTTCATCATCACCAAGGAACCAATATTTTTGGTGATGTGATCAGATATGGTGCGTTTGAGAAGGAGTGGGTCATCGGTTTCCATCGCCACTCGGAAGCCGTTCGACAAAGACGAGAGCCGCTGAATGTCTCGGTCTGATAAATCTAATATATGTTTGTATCGTTCTCGAAGTAAACTCTGGACATCCACAGACTGCTCAGCTCCGGTGAAACCTTGCTTACGATCCATTGGGCTAACTCAAGCCTCAATCTGCACAAATCCCGCACAGCACTAATAGTAACTAAAACAAAGTCAACCCATCGATTCATCACTTACCATGACATCAAGCTAATTTTTGAAACTACTGATTTGTAAGTAACGAAAGTTTTGCTTTAGATTTTAATATTAATGAAGCACATTAAAATGTCTAACTTATCATCGCATATCCCACCATCTTTGTCAAAATATAATACAAAGCATGCTTAGGCACTGCATTTAGTACCAACAGACTGACTGCAGCTACATAAGTTTGCGCTTTTTCTGCATAAATGTGAATAAAGGGGCATGGGCAATCACTATTTCATTCAATTTCCACAAACAATTCGTTACAAGTGCCTTACTGCTTGGGCATGTGTCAAGGTTTGCCCACCGTTTCTTTCGTAGTATACTAAACCAGAAGTAGAAAAAATTTAGGACACCTACAGGGACAAAAAAAATACACTGAAAACGTACACCATCATAAAATTCCAGCTGTGAGAACTGCCCTTTTTAGCCTCTGTGGAAAAGGCCATTTTAAAGTGTTATCGAGTTAAAAATATTTTTGAGTGATCTATCGACAGATTCGAGATCCATCATATTTTAAGAGCATAATATTAAAATAATACATGTTGAAAACTAGGTGTAGTGTTACTTGATAGAAGGTTTAGGGGCAAAACATTGTTGTCATATTATAATGCCATTGCCGTATCAGGCAGAATGTCACAGAAATAAACCCTCATTTAAATCAACAGCTATGAAAATCCAATTCTGTCTCACGAGAGTGTATATTTGCAATATAAACATTCAGCAACAGTAAGCGACAAGAAACAGAAGGTTAAAAGCATAAGCAATAAAAAAATACATATTCCCAGTAAAATGGATAGGTTAGGAAAGGACTACTGGAGTAGTATTAACCATCAAAGAATAAAAATAGAAAGGGCTGGGAGCTCGATGAGTGGCGAATAAAACAAGAAAAGAAGGATTTTGAAGAAGGTTACAAGAAATGGACAAAAACATTAACATTCGGGAGGGTTTGGTGAATAAGAAATAAAATAATAAAAAACGTTTAGGCGATAAGAACAGTGTCAACTTTCGCGTCGTGCCCTTCTACGAAAAGATTTTCAAGGATCTGTTCAGAGAACGCTAGTGCAATAGTACGAGGCAGTGGTACGCTGGGATTATTTTCACTGTGGTATTCGCGCATTCCTGTGAGGTAGTGGTCATAGAAACCCTTCCCACGACCCAGACGATCGCCCGCCGCCGAGAAAGCCAAACCGGGAAGGATGAAGAGGTCTACAGCTGGAACAGATGATAACACATGCAACCAAATCATAGAGCACTGACACACAATAGAAAACTAAAATCCAACAATGCCTCCACTTATATGTGTTGTCAATAGGTCTGTAATTTCAAAATTCTGAACACCGAGAATTGAAACCTGGTTCTCCGAGGTGGGTATGTGAATGAGGGCCTGCCCTCCATCAAAGAAAAGCAAAGTTGTAGGGTTTGAAATTTACACTTCGTTATTGGGCCAATTTGAACACTGTGTTTGAAGACAACGAGGAACAGATAAATGTATGCAAGGCAAATGAAGAAGCACCGTAATTATGAGAAGAAAACCACAATAACCCTAAAAGATACACAACATGTTCAGAAGCTGCAAGCCAAAAACGAAGGATTTCAGGTCTGTCGGATCAACTTAGCTAGTTACCTGCACAAAGGTCACGTCGCCACATAATTCATTAATAAAGCTACCAAACACAGTGTTCAAACCATCACTCTCCACACGAAGACCAGCCAGCACACACTCTAACTCACGCAAATAACGTACGCAGTGTGAGAGCATCGTCCTTATCAATTCCAGTAGTAGGTTGAGGTGGCTCGCGAATGCCGAATTTGTTCAAGGGCCAAGTGAACAACTCATCAAGACTATGGAGTTGACGCATTCGCATTAAGCCAAAACGTTTTGTGAGGCTGTTACAGCGCTCGGAATCGGCAAGGATTTTTGGCACAACGACAACTTTTCCCGCCTCCAGGGCATGTCTGATTAGAGCAATTGTGTCCGGCTCGTAGGAGAAGCTAACGAATATTGAAACACCCTTACAGGTTTTAAAGAACTCGTGAGCTAATACCTAAAAGAGTGAGTAAATAAAAATTAGAAGATATGATTCACAAAAACATAATAAAGAGGCTATACCTTCTGAAGGAGAACCTGGGATTTTCTTTTTCGTATGGACGGAGGAATATTGCTCAATATGGACTTCATATACTGACGAAGTTCCTGTTTATTCTGCAGCAAGAGACACGAAATCAAGTACGTGTGCAATTACGTTGGGCAAGTGCTATAAAGCGCGTTTTGAGTATTTGTGTGCGGCTGATGTACCTTCAATTTCCTGACACCATGTGGACATTTTTGCGCTTGAGAGACCATCGTCATGATCTGCCCTAAGTGATTGTATTTCAAGCACTGATTTGGAACAGTTAGAGCAACAACAGGGCCAAATCTATCAAGTCACCAAAAGAAATTTTACCAATGAAGTGTTTTAGCTGCCTTGTGGCGTCTTGCGTAGCGTGTTGATGAAGCGAATACAAAAACCATTCACATTTACTGAGACCTTTACCACCAATAACAACGAAAACTTAATTTAACAGTGACAAATTTGATTTTGCTGTAAGCTTGTGCCGTTTCAATACACAAATAACAAAAAAAGATAAAGATGGAGAAAAGGGCGGCATTAACACATTAATCACAAAGATACGGGAAACACACACACACACTATCCAGAAATGTAACAAATAAATGCATACCTTGGCGACCATGGTCGAATCTAAAAGAGGACAAAACCTGTTACATTGGTGCAGGCGTGAGGCTCATCCCAGGCCTGCGACACTCAGACAACACCAACAGCAACAGCAGTGAGTGCAAATTGCAACATACTACGAACAAAAAGGACTAAAAACAAACGAGCTTGACGTATATTTTTACGGGCAGGGTACATTAAGTAAGCATATCCAAAAAATCGTTCAAAGAGGTTCGTTTGTGCTTTGCGGCCTTCGTGGTGCTTTGCGAGATTCGGACCTCAGTGCCAAGGTTCTTCTTCCTATTCTTTTTCGCGTTCTTTCTGCTACTGCAAAGTCGGAGTGTCAACACTAAAGCGGTTACTTACGTGGGAGTGGACGGGGAAATCATGCTAAAGAGATCACCTGGTGACGCCCCATTATTCGGCTTACGATTCCTTTGAAAGGTGAGATTTATAAATAAATTGTAAACTTACAGAGCAGCTGGAAATGTTTTGGATAAATTTGAATAGGTGCATCTACTGGCACCACAGAATCGACAACTGAGTATCTAAACATGAGATAATGACGACTGATTCTATGCATGCCTCCTTGACCTCATTTGCAGATGCGGTTCTGGGTTTTCGCTTAATCTCTTTGACCCGATACGAACGATCTGCAGTGGACATAGTCCGGAAACATCCCAGGCAGACGTCAGCACAACAACTTTGTCCTACAAACGATTTTTGAATTAGAAAAATTGGACGACTCACGGAATGGAAGGAGGGATCTGACATGAAGATACCTAAAAACAAAAAGGAACTGGATGAAGTATAAGATAGAAACAAACAAATTACACTGCCATTGCGTTTCTTCTCTAGAGATTAATTTTAATCGAAAAATGTTGGTCAAGTCTATCAACATGCAAACTAACTTGTTGTAAAGCTGATCTAGCAGGGTGTTTCTAAAAAAATTCCGCCTCAGAAGACAAAGCTTCGTTGTCTTCTTGTTAAGTTCATCATTTTCCATCTACAAATTTAAAAAAAAATATTCTGAAACCTGACCTACGGTTTTACAAACATCATTTTAGGAGTAGTTGGCTGACTTCACAGTAAAATTTTAATAGTCAGTGCCACATAATTGTGTATGCTTAATTTTGAAACAAAGAAAACATTGGAAGCATGTGTACGTGGTCGCACACACCCTCAGTATCTAAGCTTATTTATAAATACAAAGCCATGTATGCGGTGTTATACTTCTGGTACGCTGGTACAGAACAAAAATCCCACTCAAAAGCCGATTAAGGCTTTACTAATGACATCAGATAGCTAGATTTCGCACTCTACTATCCCGAAATAACAAGCCTTAAATCCCACAGATGCTAATGTGCTTTCACGCTTTTTTCATCGATCTCACCTCCTTCTAACAAATTTATAGATTAGAAATGATAGCAGCACTCGAGGAGCATATTTCATAATAGTCCATCTTAAACCGGATGATGGTCTTGCAGCCATGCTTCAACAACTCCAAATCATTCTGCATTGGCACAGTTTACGGGAAAGAAGGCGCGGTGTTCTAAAGAATTTTGGTAAACGTCGTGGTATTTAGAGAGCTAGTTTTCAACACGAATCTATTCAGACCTCACGTTTTGGAGTACTTGTGAGCTCACTTAGCTTCATTAACACCGGCGAGCACAGAAAGCAGAGCAGGATGGGTGAACTGCAAACAATGGTGCAGGTCCACCACACTGAGCAGCTGAAGGAAATCCAAACAAAGTTGATTAAAACCCTGTGCTCAGCACCGAGATAACGAATCACGTCCAAACCTCTAACGATAATACACATGAAAGATGCTCAGAGGATGAATACTCGTGATTATGTCAACGGTCTACTCATGTGGCACTGTGATCTAGGTAGACCTATCGTGTCACATTCACTCCCATGAGGAGTTAAACTTAAAAAGCAGCAACAAGGGTGATAGAGATGATTTTGTTTTGAAAGCGCTTCCTTGTACACCAAAGGTTGACAAGGTACAATGTTCGCAACGGAGAAGCTCACGTGGTAGGAGCGAGGACTGAAACGCTAGCCATGGCCCGCTAAATGAGGGCCAGATAACGACCGAAATAGGTGCTCAGTAATGAGCAAAGTAAAATAAACTTCATGGACGCAAGATAGTACGTAATTTCAGAGGAACTCAGGTAAAGCCAGAAATCACGTAAATTCGGAGATTTTTGTGATTAAGAATTAAAGTTTATCCGAACCAGCGTACTTGGATTGTGGCCAAACGAAACCAACAGTAGTTAGTTACCTATTATGCCCTCGTTTAAACGACTAAATTGAATCATTGGCGTGTGTTCGAAACAAACAAAACGGCATTTTCATGTGACAATGTATTTTAAAAACCAGAGAAAATTCTAAAATTTTAATCCCGGTAAAAAATCAAAAAAGAACAAGCTTTCTGCCAATAAAAAAAGAAATACATCAGAGCACTTGAGTATACTGATTAGAAAAGATTGTTAGTTGATTAATGATTCATTTTACATGAAATCATGTAGTTAACAATAAATAATCAGCATCCAGGGCCATGGTAACGAAAACAAAAAGTCAACAGTTTTTTTCGGTTGTATCAAAGGATGGGAGGATCACAGGCATCATGTTCGAATGATCTGGGTTAGTTTGGCAATGCTTTCATCGGTCTTGATATGGTCGTACGAGGGGTGGCTTCGCTGGTAAAGTTTCAGCAAGTTCTGGTAGACGGCAACTTCAAAGGCGATTCCCTGCTCGATTATTCGATTCACCACGGCCTAAAGAGTGAGATTATGAGAAGAAGGGCAAACAGTAGAAAAGATGTCATTTTTATGTAAAATCAATCGTGACAAGTCACGCCCAATATCATAATCGACGTGCATCCAGGTACCTCACAAATGATCCGCGTGTCTCGGCATGTGAACATAGCTCAACGCGCGGTGTAACGGGGCCGCCAGTGCAATATGGGGACTCCTTTGGGAGTTTGAGTCCCATTATAGGGACTTGGACATTAAAACGATACAGTCGAATGTTGTTAAAAACTTAATTCGAAAAATAGGTGGTCTACACCGTCAAATATACAGGCGGACTCACTTCAGGGGTCAGGTAGAACAATTCGTAGAGTTGCTTGACTCGAATTAAATCCGATTCATGATTTTCCGTCAGCAAAGCCAAAACTTGCTGCAGCTTGTAGATATTTCGACACATTTTGCGGTTGCCATTCGCGTTCATTCGAGTAATGTTTGGAATGAGGCGAAGAAATATTTGTGATATGAAGTCGCCAAGACCGTCAAAAATGAACCTGGAAAAAATACGTAACGAGGGAATAGTTTGAATGAAATCTATTTACAGAAGTCCTACATACTCATGTAGGTTAGCTTTTAACCAGATTTGCTATTCTGAAAAGATAACCAGATTTCTACTCTAACAAAGAGGGAACACTAAGGTGTTGTAATTACGTTGATTATTTTCACCAAAATGGAACTTTTTAATGGACATTACCAGGTTCAGTGCATTTGACCGACAAAAACGTTAGTGAACATAGAATCGTGGAAGGGGGGGGAGGGGAGGGGAGGGGAACGGATGCACCAATAAACCTAAGCCACAAGATAAGCGTGGCGCCATATGGGCACATACTAAGTTATACAGCTAAATAGCGACTTTATCACTGGAAAGCAACCAGACTAGTCATTTTTATCCAAACTTACTGACAATAAGCAATTGCATTAAATTTAAGAAGCATGAAAATCGAGGAAGTTATCGGAATTAATGTAATTTGGGATGAATCCTAAACAGTCAAACTACTTAAACGAAGTTCTACACTCACTTAAAAGCATACAGGGTGTGCAATTACAGGAAAAAGTTGCAGCATAACCCAAAATAGCACGCTTTGGCAGAGCACCGTAGTCTTGGTGATAGTTGGTTGTCAGTAGTAAATTGTCAACAGTCAAAAGAAAAACAAAAGATCGGGCTTCAGTGATTGACCCATCCACTTTGAATATTTCATTCGTTTTTTGACAGCTGAAGCTTTCATATAAAGAACTGCTGTTTTGCTGCTGTCAGTCAAGCAGAAATGTTAATTACTGCTAACCGCAATATCGAAATAATCTGAGATAGCAGGGGAAGCCAGTTTAGGTCGTTTTTAAGCAGTTACATGTGAGTGTGTGTGCTTTTTACTTACCGTAGTTCATGAGGGCAAAAAGAATGAAACAGAACCTCCTGCAGCTGATCCAAGTAAACAAGATAGCGGGTCACCTCGGGGTCAACGTCGACTTCGTCCACAGGGCACCAGAAGTTGGAAGTGCGCGGCAGGTTACCAAAAAAATTGTAGGCCTGGATGCGAACGTCCAGATAGATGGTCAGTATGCAGGCGTTGGAGAGGGAGGTCAGCTCCTCGGCTGCTGCAGCGAAGGGGGCCATGTCGAGACCGGGCACACTGCCCTCTAACCAAGTGAACCAGGTTTGCACACAACGCTCCAGCCAATGCTAGGGAATACGAGAGAGTGATCGGATATACCCACAAGTTTTATTTATTCGGAAGGGGTAAAAGTATATGGTAACGTTGGGGACTGCACAAAAAAAAGTCAGAAACCACACCAAAACCGACAGCTCCCACCTCGACTTATGCTCTTCACCCTCAGAGGGAAAAAATAGTGATCGTACACGGTGGAGTGCACGTCAGTAAACAAGTGCTCAACAAATAGTTGTTTTAATCTACTCGTCTTGGATTTTTTGGGGAATTGTGAAATGAAACCATTCACTGCAGGAAAGTATACGATTTCAAAACTGAAACAATGAATCACCATACAACCTTGATTAATGTAGTTAGGACACATTACAACATAGCCACTAAAACAGGGCTGAATCATAGATAAAACAGCAGAACGGTACGATGCTTAAACTGTATCAAACCACAGCCTGTTTGCAGCGGACGAAGAAGCCCACGAGCCGCCGACGCGACAGCCCATGTGTGTGCGTGCAAAAGGCGAGTAGAAACTGCCAATGTAAAGTGGACAAAGGCAGCTCCAAAGGCCTTTCGGGATCACGCAAACACTCTGACCAAATCTCAAACCTGAAACGAACCGAGTAGAGGCAGACAAGCTGTACAATGAAGTCACGATTTTCAGGCCTGCATACCAGCATAGACAATGTAACAAAGAGGCTTAAGTGCTATTAGTTAGCTAAAACTGATCAGCAAACCACGCCTCAACAGATAATAACAGTAGCATTACTTCATGACCAAACCAAACGCGGAGAAATTGGCTCGGCAAACGGCTACGTCTGTGCTTGTAGAGAATACAATGTATGAAGTCATCCGTTGGTGAGTTACATAGATTTGTACATGACCAAATTAGGTTTTTTAGAGTGCAACAGCGACCTACAACTGACTCCCGTAGACGCCCCATGGCTTTGACGGTTTGCATATTGGCAGTAGGCAGGCAGAGCTCGGAGGACGAGCCAATCTCGTCTCGAATCATTTGAAGCAATTGGTCCATCTCCTTTACCGCTAGGCGAGTCGCCTCTCGTTCGTGAAGTAGCTAAAGGTAGTAAAACAGTTAGCAGGTCATAGGCCTACGAAACAGGCAATTTACCGAAACACAATTGTGTCGATGGTTGCTAATATTTTCGGCCAAGAATAAACTTTATGATACTATAACGAATAGTTATTTACAATAGTCTAACTGAGTGGCTAGGACCTGTAGGGCTCCGGCATTTTATGTTAAACCACGCCGGGGCCAATGCGTCAATCTAGGCCGATTATTCTACCTCGGATGCACACGAAGATAAGAAGACCGAAGAGGACGAAGAACAACCGTTTACTAGACAGCCCAACCTAGTTGTGTTGTGCTGATTGAAACAGTTGAGTGAACTAGTGAGCGGGTGGTGGTGGTACATACAGACCATAAATTGGGGCCTTTGAGTATCATCATAACTTATCAATGGAAGCATATGGGGTCAATAAGTCATTATACGCAGAAAAGGTCGAAAAAATTCCGAGCACTAGAATCAATATGGCTTATTATCTTTTGAGAGAAGTATGAATTCGTGCTCACAAATCAAGAATGCCGTTCACTCCTGTAAGAGTCCATTCGCCACAACCAACGCATGGGAACACGGCTGAAAAATAATTCATACCTGTCGAGAATTAAAATTATGTGAACGGGCATGAGTAAAATAAGCCAGCGCAGTAGAATGGATTCCCGATTCAACGGAATTTGAAAAAGTAAAAACGTACCATGTCAGCGTGCTTTGGAAGGTCGCCATTTTGGGCGCCATCACTGGTGCCCGGAGCAATGCCGTCCTCGGCAACGCCGTTGAGTCCAAAGGAGTTAGCGAATGGGATCGCCTGGAGGCTGGGTCCACCAGCAAACACTGGCTCACTGCGCCCGTTGAGACCGAGATTCGATAGACCGAGGACGATGGCCGCGGCGGAGCTAAGACCCGAGCCCGCGGCGGAGGACTGGTGCAGCTCACCAGAAACAGTGGAGTTTTTTCGATCCACCGCACCCGGCTGAGGATCGTGAGGGTTACCCACGGAGTGGGCAGTGCTGGCAGTTACGAAGGCGTCAGCTGCCACCATTCGTTGCCAAACTGGAAATTTTCTGTAAAAGATAATCACAATGACCGAACAAGGTTCCTGGTGGATATCAAAACTGTTGATCCTATCAACCCTGCTCGTGGCTTTGGTGAAAAGATTGGAAAACAAACAAAATTAGCATTGAAATTTAGGCAATTTGTCAGCTTATTTAACTTAATTGCACAGTAAACACTATAGGAGATAGCATAAACGTGACAATGAGTTGACAGTAATAGTGAAGTAGGTCAGTAAACTGGTGGCCGATGTGGGCTTAGTAAAAAGGTAAGTTGCAAAAACTTCTATAGAAACAAATGTTTTGTCAGTGAATGATAAATTGACCTAATCATCACTGATTTTGCAAGAGCGAGTGCCCAGGTATTTAATGCATGAAAAAAATTAGCTCACGTCCAAAATCTGCTGACATCTTTGTCTCGTGCCCAATCAGCACTTGGAATGGTTAATCCAGTAGCTCCAGAGGTACTAATGCCTATAAACAAAAAAATATCGACAATTTAAAAGTGAAAATATAAAAATTACGAAGCTGTGAGTGTCTACCAAACGAAAGGCGATGCCACTATTGGGAGTTAACTTAAATGAGTTCATGTTCACTGACACAGTCGGCATGTGGCAATTTAACATTCTGGCAAAACACTGCTAAGTATATGACGTGACCGTCAGAAAATCCAATCCTTATCAAAAACGCATTTTAGATACCTGGGCAGAAACTCGCCAGGAATGTTCAAAATGCCAGCAATTTTAAACACGCAGCATTAAAGACTCACTACGGTAAGCAGATGACGACCAGTTGAGAAAGGTTTCAAGAAGAGCCAGGCCTATTTTAGAGCAGTTGGTGGCATAGTCGGGAAGAGCAATGGCCATGCCATTGGTCTCACCCAAGGCTTGGTTTGTTAAATAAGCAACCTGAAATACAAATAAGCAATCCTTATTTTGGCCAAAAGATGAAGGACAATGGACGAATAACGTCCACATGACTTGGCAACAACTAATTGCGATAGCAACCAAAGTGAATTGAGAAAAAGGCAATATTGTTGCGGAATATTAGTCTATGGGGAACCTGGCAGCCAGGAGCAATAATAAGGGCGCTAAAACAGCCAGCATTTTAACAAACAAATCAACATTGGTGTGCCTAATGGAATACGGGGGCTCGTTAGGAGTAAACAGGTTTCTAGTGTGAGAGAAGAACCATGATATGTTTCATTATTTAAGATACAGGAGCATTAATAGTTGAGGATGTGATCTACGGCGGTCAAATCCTAATTTATCTTGATTTTAAATTATCAACAAATTATAACTACATTAAATATGCGATTTGTGACACAAGAAACCAAAAAAAATGCAGGAAGATTTACAACAGGAGTGGAAACAGCTTACCAATTCAAACTCATAGAAATATTTTGAATCACATACTACGATTTAAACCAGAACACACCCGTATCCCTGCATTAATCACGACCACTAGCAACACAAAAAAGAGAATTCCAACTATTTATAAAATCACTATGAATATCAAATGAAGACTTACCAAGAGAATGGGACGCTGAAGACCGAGCTCTCGTTGTGTCTGCTGGGAAACAATGGCTGTCAAGGCATCCGGACCTGGGAGACAATTGAAACTGTGGTGTCATCTTGATGATAAAAATTTAACTAAAGCGTTGATTACACAGGATCGATCGAATAGTCCATGAATTAGCGTTAAAGATGTTGGACTTTCGTCGTTAATATGACAGCAGATGAAGCTAGGCAATCACTGAAACAGCAGTTTAGGGAAACTAGGCATAGAAAAATGTCGACAGAAATGTGACATTGGCACATCAACAGTATCGTATTACTATGATTTTTAGATTTTTCTTTTATCTTTACTGTTTGGCGACAGTGACAATTTGGGTAATTCTTGATAGGTACGACCCAATAGATACAAGTTGTATGGAGAAAACGGGTGAATCGCATGCGCCCTTACTGGATACGGCGAGAACAAGAGGCCTCCGAAGTTCTACTTCAGCCTCCGGCAGATAAAGGCGTTCGATGAAATTTAGTAAGAAAGTTCTGAGCTGGCAGCGCAGCGTGAGTCTGAAAAAAAAATAGTGACTTGTGGTTCGAGCTTTTTTGTTAACGATGAAGAAGACATAAAAACCCGTCCGCAAATGGCGTAAACAGAGCGTGCAATGATGACAATTGTACAAGAAGACAGACTAGGCTACGGCAAAAGGCATACACCCAGAGTTTATCCGCTACCACCTAAAAACCACTCAAGTGGTTAAAGAAGTGTTACAACGAATAATACGAAGGAGAAAAACCAAAACCGTGAGGAGCAAACGAATAGTTGAAGAAAAACTTAACGATATTACTAAGTCCATGCAGAAATCTATGTAGAACTTACTGAGGCTCATCAGATCCGAAATCAGCACTGCATACGGGAAAGGGAATTCACAGTAGTAATAACGATACGCATTATTGTAGACCGACAAACAGAAATGTGAGAACACAATGCACGAAAGGAAAGTCCTAGTTTAATTCTTCAACACTTAATGAGACAAATTTTGGCGCCAAATCAAACTTGTACTAGGTAGTAACGATATCAAAACAGTGGTTAACTCACGGTGTAGTATTTACCATTCAAAATCGTTTAAAACTAAAAATTAACCTACACACAATTACAGCAGCTGATTATATAGATATGATGAGTAACTCATGTAAAAAGATTAAAGTATTTCCCACATGGATACGGCACTTTGACGTACTTTTTTGGAATCATTTTCTGAGCGCCCATTGCCATGAAGGCGCCTTTGAGGCCTTGAGTGATGGAAATAGACCCAGTGCCGCCTCTACCCGCCCTAGGCGGTGGAAGCGGTGGAGGGTTTCGACTACTGGTTGTGGTCGCCTCCGCCTCCTCGTTACTCAGGGCCCGCTGGAAAACGCTATTGACCGAAATCGGCTGCATTTCAATGACACGAGCAAAAGTGAGCACCATAGAGTAGATACTCTTTACGTTGTCAGCAGAGGGAAGACATACAAGTGGATAGCTTCTAGATACATCCGCTTGTGCACTAATAGCACCGTCGGTGTTTATTGATTTGCTTTCAATCGAGTCCGCTGAGGAAAGATCCTAGGTAAGGGGCAAAAAACCCAATGTGTAAAATGACTGTGCTTGAACAATTTGATAAGTTTGTAGTGAATCGTGTTGATTGCCTACTCATTCACCCCTCTGTGTGTACCACCACCACCCGCCTTAACCATGTGACCATTCAGACGTCCGTATTTCTACCAGTACACTCGACTGTACCAGTCAACACAACACAGCTTGGTTGAGCGGTCTAGTGAACGGTTGTGCTATCTCCGCTCCGGTCTTTATTTTCGCGGGAACACAGGGTAACGTATTCGACGTAGACTGTCGCAGTGGCCCCGGCGTGGTTCAAGTTAACATGCCTGGGCCCTCAACAAGTTTAAGGCATTTCTCCACTCGATTTAGAAATGGACCATCCACCTTAAAAACAGTGGCAGTAAGAGGATTTTTGGGAAAGACAAAATTAAGTTTCCATTAGCCTTGGCACGTCAGCAGGATCGTGACATAGCCGCCAGTATCATAACATTAATCTCGTGTGACTCAACGACATACCGGATATTCCCATGCACCACAGCCTTTATCAACCTATAAAATTATATCAACAACCTCGGACGCATGTAAATTTCTGTCCACGAGCTATCCAAGTGATGGAAACTAATGACGTAAGATTGGGAAGCAAGACAGCAACGTTACTGCAGAATTTCAGTCCATCATAGCATGTAAAGAAAACCTACGAGTGGCATGTTTATGCGATTCTCCCGGAGATAGCTATTCACACTCAGGTTATGTGCCGTTTTCGAAAAGCTGAAAAATGAACCCGCACCAAGTTCGCCACTGTTGAAGGCTGTCGAAGTATTTTCAGACGTGACACCTCCTTGGGAATTGGATGATCCGCCAGAATCACTGGTTGCACCCGAAAGGAATGCAGGTATGGTTCCCTTTCGCTTGCCCATTAAGACATTCAGGTCCAGCTTGCTTGCACTGAAATTGGCAGTGACAGCCACTGCAGCTGAAGCAGCGTTTTGCCGGGCGTCTGATGTCTGATATGAGGAATCAGGCGCTGTTTTTTGGTTTGATAAGTGAGTAGAAAGGACTGTTTGAACCTAAATTGAAAGTCGAGGAAATAATAGCCCTAAAATGTGGTACGGAAACTAGGACAATGTACGACTAGAAACATTGTTTTAAATAACAAGATAATCTCGGAACATCACTTCTCTATTGACAGTCAGTGGCAAGTTGTAGCTAAGCTAAGGGCTCAAGGCCTACGACTTCGAATTTAACCTAAAAGTTCAAAAGTGGGCTGTTAGGCCTATGACTGAATTATGCCAATGAACGTCTGTCACCCCCGCCAACGCAAGTCCGTTGCCTCCTTCACTCTGTACGATTCCGCCCCTACCCACAACACTGTAGTTAATACGTCGCATAACCTTCATTTGGTTCCTTTTGATTGAGACCACCAGCAGCCATTGTCCCTTCCCCACGTGTATTTCAGAGCTGGAGCAAGCAGGCGCGCAAGTGCACTGGGATTGAGCCGCCTGATAAATGATTTAGCCACCAAGAATTCGGGTTCCCTAAGTCACCTCGGGGCATTTTCGGTCGTAGACAGGCCCAATTGAGGCCAATATTACTACGAAATTCAGATTCTCAGCAAGTGGTGACCTGGTTCCAGTAGTCTCGATCTAGTGTAACAACAAACTATGCAAAATTCCACGTTTGAGGTCAGATTTACTGTGGTTACGGCAACAATACGCGAGTGAGAACATTCTGAAAGTGAGGGGTATGACGATGCCAACTTTCCGTGAAACACTCCGACAGGTACTACGTGATGTTGGGCCAAGCAAAGGGGCCAACTACGGAAAAAGGGCACGTCAGCTACTGACGAAAAAGTGGTACTTTTAAGACACTGAGAAGAAAGTATTAACGCTGAACACGACATGCACTACGTGTTTTTGACTAAATGAGCTGCCTGGCACGGTTAAAGCAAACGCAATGAAAGTGTCGTAAACCATCGAGAAAGACTACGAAGAAAAGTGATCTTGAACAGCGCTGGGTATCCTAGACCCAAAAGGCAGTAGCAGAGCTGCGATATGTTCATCGGGTAATGGCACCAACTGTTCAGAGTGATTCAGTCAGGGCCACGACCCAAAACCAAGAAAAAATAAAACAGTCCCCAGGAATGATTGATGACGACATATACCAAACTGCGGGGCCGGAACTCAGAGGGCGCCATCGGACAAACTGCAGTAGCCGAAACGTTTGAGACCTCTCATTCCTCCATACTGCATAAATTAACATACATTAATTCAAGCCTAAGCAGAAGGGGAATATTTTGCAGAGCCATTTGAGATTACGTGCTCAAAAAAACTCGAAGCATACCTTAAATAAAATTAAATATTTTAAATAATGGATAATAAAACCAACAAAATTGCTCTTAAAAGGAATGTCTGTCATCCTTATAAGCATGGAATTTTGACGTTATGAGGTAAATGAAATATTGAGAAGCGCTTCCGGGGGGTTTTAATTTTAGTGGTCTTTTTACACATGGTGACAAGAAAAAACGTTGCCAATGGGTTAAGGGACCAGTAAACGGGAAATCCATCTTTAAAATAGCACAATGACGTATTGATTATTATACCTTCGACAGTAATAAAAAAGAGCGGATAAATTTATTGTGGTTTTCGCAAGGAGCACCACTAAGACTACGAGAGGCTGTAGTCATGCCGCGAAACAACAGGCATCCAGTTATGGAGATTTAGCACAACTTATCCAAGAAAAAAGCCAGGATAAGTGTTGTCACACAGTGGTATTCAAAGCGAAAGGTAAAAAACGGCACTTACTTCTGATTGGATGTAACCCCAGATGTGCTCTTCAGAAAGAACATCCAAAAAGTCGAAGGAGACGCCAGGATTTTGCTAAATAAGTGGTAAAAGATAGGAGGACAACGTGAAGTTAGCACATTCAACAGGCAAGTAAAATATCAACTGATAAAATATATTTGGCAAAAAAAAAACAAAACTGCGTGAATGTGTATTGCAGTTCCAGGGATGAATAGGGTACAGAAAAATCGGGTACAGAGGGAGTCAGATAAACGACAATCAAAGATTTTTTTATATAAAAAAAGACTAACCTCCTTGATTTTTTTGATTGTGCGTAAGACCAACATGAAGGCATTGAAGTGCATGCAGAGAGAGGGAAACAGAATTTGCAACAATTCAGCCAAATATGTTGAATCAGGCAAACTCGACAGGGAAGAAAATTCTCCTTGTGCTGACAGACTAGAAAAAAAAAGCGATAGAAAAGCTGGTAACAGCATCAAATTCTACATGGCCTTAAGAACAGAGTCGCTTTGGAGTTAGGTAGAATTCTAAAACAGTTTTTTTACATAAATGACCAGTTATGCTAAGGAAGTAAAACCACACTTTGATCACCATTCGCTGGTTGAAATACAAGGCTACTTATAGTATCAAAAGTATCCCTTAGGAAGACGTCTGTCGAGAGGATCTAGAATGGATGGGACTTCGAAGGTCAACTATGCAATGCTGCAACGTATAAGAATGACACTCCCGTTTCAGCCGCACTATTGCGATAAAAGGCCCTACCATTCCTTAACAATTGCCCATTTGCTTCATGATCAGATGTCTATTTTTAGTTGATAACAATAAAGATGAAACGATAATTACTTCTACAGGGTAAAAGTTGGACAAAATACGTCGGCATGTGATTCATTTTAATGTTTTCTGACGCGTTTTTTCGTGTTCACTATCCGTTACAAATGCCGGAAAAGAAAATCTATAAAAAGATCATTATCAAAATCAGTGGGAAGAGGGAGTCAAGTCTTCAGTCCAAGCGCAAAATTGTCAACTAAAAAAATTAAAATTGCACAGAATATGTATTTGGAATGTAAGTTAGAGCAAACACAACGTACGTGCATTCAATTTCGGCAATTGCAGGAAGTGTGATCGAATTGTGAATGGCTTCAACTAAACCCCGAGCAGGCGCGAAAACTTCGTGACTGTTTCGGCCCACTTTTTGAGACGGCAGACCTGATAAATCTCCAACGACATCACCACTGTGAGCTTTCACACGCCAAGAAGAGAAAGCCTAGCAAAAATGGCAAATGTGGAAAACCACAATCGCATCAGACAATTTAAAGTCTGGAAATAAAACCAGTTTAAAGTTAACAATCTTAATTTTATAAAGGTTCGTAAGCAGAACGACTTCCAAATCAACCTAGAAGGAATGGCACGCCCTAGTAGCAAGAGGGCATTAAAGTAAATAGATGGGGCGAAGTGGTGCGATGTTAATGCTCGTACTTCGTATAATTTGCGACTATACATTCAGTGAAAATTCGCAGCACTATTGCTTAGAAAAGAGAAAAATAAACGTAAAATGGCATTTCAAATAGGCGTGAATGAAAGGTAAGACGATGATGCATGCAATGCCAACATCGGAGTTACAATCTCACACAGCAGACACGACGTTGTTCCAAAAAAACGAGTTTTGCTGGTGTGGAACAGATGGTTTTCTTCTCATCATTACGAATTGTCAAAATAGTGAAGACTAATACGTCAAACCAGTCATTGGGTCCTGGTTTGTAAACCGTGATTTAAAAATCTTCGCATCCAGACAAGCGGTGGGGATTATCAAATAAAGATCGTGCAAAGTAAACACTGTGATCGGGAATGGTGGAACTAGTGAATGACGGCCCTCATTCCTTGTTAACCCTCGTAGTGCTAGATAATGGAAGATGATGAAGAGGTGAAATGCGAGGTGGACAATTACAAAAATTGCGAAGTGTCCTGTTTCATCTGCAGTTACATGTTAATAAAAAGTGACGGCATAAATTACCGAAGTGAACACACGGGCGAATGAATCTGCACAAACCTCTAAGGTGCTCCTGTAAAAACAAGTCGGTGTAAATGCATGATTGAATATTTGGGAAAATATAAAAGAACAAACAGAAAAATAATCGTGAGTAACGTAAGCAAAAGGTAAGACAATGACTAAAGCTGCACTTTTAAATTGGTACGGCAAACCAAAAAAGCACTAATACAATGGCCATCTGACCTTTGAAAGTAGGGTAAGTTGAGTGAAGTTGTAGGTAACGGTGTGAGTGATCCTATGAAAACTGAAGCTTTACGCCAAGGAAAAAAACTAAATCCTAAGAAAGACGACGTTAATGAGACACATCAGATAGCTGTCATAATGGAAACAAAAAACAGCAGATAACATTTAAATTCAGAAGTTGGAGTTAGTGTTTCAAGGAAGATAAGCGCACAGTTTTCTATGACCAGAAAAATACCATGCAATAGGGGCAGACAAATACAAAAACAGTATAAGATTATAGAAACGAAATCTTCCGTACAAAATTTTAAGGAGTAATACGGAACAGAATAGATTCTATATACAGAATTGAACCAGAACTTATAAAGAAGAGTTGCTTGCTAAATACATGCTAGGTGAGTGCGACGTTGACAGGAAATCTTACAAACGAACCTGTGAAAGTTTCTGCAGCCGATGCAGACAGTGGGTCAATGCAACGATGGCTTCTGCCCACTGCCTCTTGTCAGTGATCATGCGATCTGCGGTTTCGCGAGTCGAGTCCACATAGCCGTAAGAGTGGTGCACCACCTTGCTCTTGGGCTCCCTTGACGATGCAAGGGCTCCGCTGGCCAGGCGCTTGGTCAGAAGGCCCGCAGCGACCGCCTGGGGATCTTTGAAGAGGCTCGAATCAACCTCAGGCGGATCGGATGAAAGGGAGCGCCAGTCGGAAAGTGGAAGATTGTTAAGCGCCATGACATCATCAGCTGCATGATTTCTCCCATCGGATGAATAAAACTCGGATAACTGGTCAGACAATTCAGATTTTGGACTGAAACACGAGAAAGGTAAAGTCGTAAATTGTTGTTACGTGCTAACAAATCTGTGTTCATACTAAGGCCAAAGCAGACAGTTTTGGTACATGCGACCTCAGACAGTGAACAAACTTTATTTAAGGCAAAACCGACTGCGATAAGACATGGTAAAGAAAAAAAATGCAAATATAAAAAAACCTATACGGTAGGTTAACAGATCATACTGCTACAACTAACGACCAAATCGCTTGAGACTACTGAAAAGCATGCGACGTACAGTCAATGACATTCTGAAAAGGGGATTGACTATGATAGCATAGGAAGGCACTGTCAGATTTAGCCATCCACACCGAGAGAGCCATGGTGTGCAAAACTAGGACTAACGCATCACCACAGTATTCACCACACCACACTTCTTGTGATGAATTTTAGATCAAGCGGAAGGAAATTTGCCATAATAGGGGGGACTGCCATAAATATCATGTCTTGTTTGAATAATTACATCGATTTTGATTTACAAAGTCATAATTTTTTGAGATCTTGTAATTTGTAGGGTATTTTGTACACCAACTTCTCTGGCGAGCAAGCAAAGTGATCACACGGATATAAAATTTGTCCCCAGACTAAGTGTTGGGTTTTTTACAATCGGAGACATTACTTTCTAGTAGGTAAACCGCAACGAAGACTTTTGTCACCAATTACTAAAGCGACGGGCTGATTGAATACGAGGAAAAATAAGGTTTTTCGCATTTCTTCAACCAGTGTCTGAAATGAAGAAATAAAAACGACACTTGACTTAGTCAAAGGTCTTCTTGGCATCCATCTATACTTTCACAACAGTATTAAATGCCAACGACAATAAGGAAAGCATTTTATTGGCAAAATTTAGATCAAGTCCTAAAGCAAAACAGTACGAAATACTTTTTATAGAGATCGCACGAATTTAAAGTTGCGAGAAAAATTATCCGAAACTGACACAGACACCTTTGGAAGAATAACGATGGGTAAAATTCGAACACGTTATGAGCATTTTTATCAAGTATTCTCTCAAAAAACGCCAACTACATTTTGAATTATAAGGGTGCATTTAATTAGGCTAGATTTTGAAAAAAAGGATTAAGGCATATGATTAACTGTACGCAAGCAAAGAGTAAAAAATTAACCTTTTTTCTAGTAGCAAGTTCAGCCTTAATTGTGTCTAAGGCTGGCACATGGTCCACTTCCTTGGCAATAACATCAGTTATTTTGAGCAAGTATTCTGTGGCTTCTGGCCATGCCTTAGCAGTGATAAGATTTTTCAAAACCTCAGGTGCTGCTCTAACACGATCGAGCACTTCAATAAGCTCAATTGAACGTCGCTGTTCAACCAATTCTAGCCAAAGACGGCGCAACTCTTCCCGATTACAACACAATAGGCTTTTGCATTGTCCAATGTCACGTTTCATTTTCTGAACAGCTTTGCGATTTTCTACAATCGCGATTGAGAAATAACATACAGATAACTAACTGTCAAGATTCTCAGAGACATCGCGATATACGTTCAAGATCTGTGTAACCTCAGTGTACTTTTCTAAAACAAATAAAAATTTAAACGGTTAGACACGGAAAAAAATAAACAAGAATAAAACGCACCATTTAAATACATATTTAAAACTTCTTCGGTTTCACCATAATCCCTTTCAAGAAGACGTCGCTTTCTTTCGCGTACTTCTTTGCTGCTACTACATTTGAGAAAATGTAGTGAGTTATGAATACTGACTTTTCAAGCAGACCGTGGATAAATGACATCAGATACGACGACTGCGTCTAGGAATCAGGTGTGATGCTTAATAAAAAGTGTGCTTACCATGTTTATTGTTGAAAGACGGACAGTTTCTACAACAAACATAATCGTATTACTACGACTGCAAAATTAGAACGGTTTACTCGAACACGCTTGAATATAACAACAACGCTACGGGGGCTGCTGTTACGTGAATAAAACCCAAAATTTAATTTAACGTCAGATTAATCGGAAACAATTACGATAATCGATGAAACCCAAAACGTGCACAAATACGACGTCAACAAAATTGCGATAAATAAGCATGAGTAATGTCACAATTTTCTCAAAAAGACATAGATATTATAAAATGAATCTTTTTCAAACAGCATTAGTCGAGGAACACAACAGTACAACCACTGCAGCAAATTAAATGGTACATTAACGGGGCGACAGATCAAAACAGGAAACTGACATTCTATTAGGAAAATCTTTAACATAGTATTAGACAACGGAAAAAAACATGTTCCTAATTAGTTGCCAAACAGAGTTCTGAATACGACAAATACTATCTCCCTGTGCGGGGCAAACACACTACATTAACTAGAATTTGCACCAACAGAATGACGGGCTGCCTTAGTACTATATAATACTTGAGGCTATTAGGTTGCTAAGAAAGGATTCATTTGGCGAGTTCTACGCACCAGTAATGGTATAGGCTAAATGTTGTTCGAAAATTTGATATTAAAAATTGCATATCTTCCTAAATAATTAACAAAGCTTAAAGCAAAATAAATGCGATTGATTAATGACGTCATCGAAGTCGTAGTACTGCACAATTTATTCACCCCTTACGAATTTCGTATAAATCGCATTAAAGAAAAGGCGATTTCTTTGAAATAAGCCAATTCAGGTCAAAAAAAGAAAAATTACTATCGCTTTACTAATTTATGAACGCGTATTTTAAATCGTAGTAAACTAAAGTGCATTGCCCCAATTTAATGAAAAATGTTGGTAATGTGTTATTCCCCCCCAAAAAAATACAAAGAAAAATAGAATGCTTTTAGCAGTTGTACATGCGGCCAAAACACTGACACTTTAGTCTCCGGTTTTAGGGCTTTGTAATATTAAACTTGACATGTGATTTTGTGATCAGTGGGAAAATGTAAGCCTCGATTGTCACTTTTGTGTCAAAGCAAACAAAGAGCTTATTCCCAAAAAAGTCATATAAATTACGACTCCTAATGTCTTTTGTAATTTTTTAACAAAAGAATTGTATGACATGTTCCGGATCGCAGGTGGCTAATTGTATATTGCAGCCATTAAATCAAAAACTTATTCAGGAATTTCAAACAGCACTATCATTTATGACAAAAATTGTCTGTATAATCACCTAAAGGTGGGGCTGATTTTCCTACCAGTCAAGCAACCAAATGAAGGCAACAATCTTTACGCAAAAAGACATTCCGCATTATTTGATGGATGCACCTAGCCATGTTAATAGAGCGTTAAAAAAAATATCATTTGGATGCGATTGTGACTTGTATGCATAATTAGATTTAATAATAATATCCTGTAAAAAGCGTTCATTCATTAATCCCTGCCGGCTATCCATTTTTCATTTGTAGATATGTATAATATAAGATTCATCATCTAGGGCTTGTAGTGCTTTGGAAATACTTTGATTAATTATTTGTTACATTAAGGACCAGAAATCAAGACCATGTCAAGGTAAGTGAGTAAAACTTTTAAGATGCAACTGTAACTGTCCCATTTGGGATAAACCACTCAAAACATTTATCCAACTATAGCCATCATATTTCGATGGCACAGTTTTTTTATCTATGACTCATCGCTTGTTTTTTTTCGATTAATATGATAACGTATTTTTAAAACATCCTTCAGAATTTTGAAATGCTGCTCGTGAAATTAGTATGGAAGTACTTGCCCGAATATTCTATGACTTCACTAATTAGGATAACAAATGCCAATAGTTTTTCGCATACTCCCATAGAATCTTTGACGTAGATGGATAGTTTTGAGACAGAATTTTTATACGACCATTAAAAAAATAGGGCACGGTAGGCTTTAATAAAAAAAAACACGTTTTTACATGACTTTACGTGAGCACCAAACTCGACTCAAAATTTTGTTTTTGGAATCCAAAATAAGGTCCTTAGAGTTGATAACTAAATCGTTTTTACTAACTTTAAATTATATACCATTGAGTAATATATGGTGACATATGATATGCTGGTAGGTAGTTCGAAAGTGCCATAACATTTAATTGATTTACTAATAATTTAAGTGGATTTTCATGCACTCAGAGTTCAAATCCATCATTTCTTTAAATATTGCTAAGTATTCGCAATGCCTTCGACAAATTTTGCATGTATTTCTAATAAATAAACCACACCTTAGGTACCTGAACGCATTTTTTCAAATTTATGAACGTACACCTCGGTTGTGAATATATTTTAAGCCACCGGTCAACGACCATTAATTTGGGTTAAAGATAAACATGCTGAGTCAAAATACACATGTTTAAAGCAAACACAATTATGTAGATTGGATTTGCATTGATTGCACCTTCAATCCACTTTGTCTCCTTAAAACCGCCTTTGGCTCTTTCGTGCTTGCCTTGCTTAACTCCAACTCTAATTTTTCTTTTCTGCCAGATTAAATAAGTATTAGTGAAGTTGCACGAGCATCGTATTTATCCGTATTGAAAATACCGAAAGATTTCCTAATATTTTGGTTTTTACAATTTTGACAAATCTGCTATTAGCACCATCACTCCCCACTAGATATCATTCAACTTATATTTGAATTATTTATTATGCATTTAGACTGCGTATACACAGTAATCTTGAATTAATTTCATGATACAGATTCAGAATTTTTTGTATTTAAACAGTTAATAATTTGGCCTATAGTGTGTGGACAAGTTTTGATGACCAATAGAGATTTAGTATTATTTGACTCAATCATAGGCTGTTTGAAACCGTCCGGGTGTCCACTTTTGGGTTCAGACACGGATTTGCATTCTGCCTGTCATGTAAGTATATCTAGGTAACATGTCTAACAGTATGTCTGGGCTTGCATTTTTTTTCAAATTAAAACGGAGCATGGCTGTTCACAGACATCAGTGATATTATTATCGTTAAACTCATGCTTCAACGGACACTAGGTACCCACCTATCATGCGCACAATAAATTGCCCTTAACGCTTATATCTCCACGAATCTAGCAGTAATTGGCTGAAGACACCTGTTGCAACATTTGTGGGCATAATTGTGTTTTCTATGTTTCCTTAAGCTAAATTTATTTTCTTTCGTCTAAATGACCAAGTCCTCATCTGGCAATTTTGAGATAAACTACTTACCCTTTGTATTGCGTAGCACTTATATCGAAGCATACATATAAAATAAATCAAAAGCACTTGTAATATCTGCACAAGTTTTATGAAAGTGCCAACGTCAATATTAATCGTGATCCTATTTTAGAAGGGAGATGGTCGGCGTCATTCTTGAAACGCTCAATTCTAAGAAATTGATCGCTTTCGGGGTTTTCATTTTGCTTGCACAAACAGCGTTTTTCCTTATTGGTGGACTTATTTCACCCGCACCACATACCCACGAGCAAATTCTCCTTTCAAGATGTATCGACAGTGAAATCTCCCCTGAAACCAACAAGTGGTATTTCTTGAGGCCACAGTCATCAAACCATACCTGCAAGGAGATACCCAGCGACATTCCTCTGGAAGAATTTGCTTCAAATGCAACCGTTGCTAAACAAATTGTTTTTGTTGCCCAATTCCCTCACCCTAGGTCTGGGTTTGACCTTAAGATGACACGTTGGTTCCAACAGGTGATTGCTGTTCTCTACCTCGATATCAAAGAGCAATATGGCATTAAGGTATGCGACTTCTTGGTTGCGATAAACACATTTATTGCGGTATTAACGCCGGTGCAAGTATTCCAAGACCTAGATGCGCGCTTCAGTTTAATTAATATTATGAATAGTAGGGAAATTTAAATATAATCCACTAGCTACGAAATATTTGCTGTGGCCTCAACACGGTTTACAGAATTTAGGTCCACTTTGAAGGTTAGCAGTCAGGTAAAACATGTAATCATTTGGATGTACATAACACCCATGTTACATTTGATTCGTTTCGACCATTTAAATCATTAGTTCCCAGAAGCCGTCACTTTCCAAGACGGACATTCAATTCTTTTTGTCTGGGCTTAACCTAACGGCGGTTTGCTTGATATACGTTTTAGTCTGTTTTCACTGTTAGGCTGATTAGGTTTTTCATTTGAAAAATGATCTACAGTCTCCTGTTTAGGTGATGTTACCTTATAATTAATTGTTGCTGAAGTCGCTTAGCTAAATCTTTAACTCTCACCAGCCTAACTTTTTGTCAGGTCAAGGAAGACGCGTGGCTGACCTTTGATGTGAGGCTGGGGTATCGCAACGATGGGGACCCGCTGGAGGCCTGGAATGAAATAGCACACTCTCGAGAGATGCGCCCACTCAACTGTCATATCAAGGAAGACGCCGGTGATTTACCAGTAGCTGAACATAGCCGAAATGAGGAAGCAAGGTTCTATGACTGCGAGGTGATGCCACTTTTTACACTGGGCAACTGTCATCATCAAAATTACTTGGTTAATATTCGTATTCCTCGTGATCCCGCCAACAATATTAACCACGACATCGGACTCATCCAGGATGTCTGGATGGTGGAAATCCATCAGAATGGTGGTTTTACCACGGTAAATTTAAATGGCCTTGTGTACACACGAGGCGAATATTATACTTTTTTATCTTCTCTGATCGACCATGACTTTTTCCTGTATTCTATGCTACTTTATGACTTTAGGAAATGACATCCGATTCAATAATGGGTGTTAAGTAGGATCTAGTTTACACGCTTTCCCTGTGTGCTCTTTTAGATTTTCTCCAACTCGTTGTTTTCTCTTATTTAAATTGCTACGTAAATATTTAAAGTATTGCGTTTCTTCCTTGCCGCAAAAACCATAGCAATCGAAATCAGAAGGAACCTTTTGTAAAAGGTCAGGTAGTATCTATTTATTTAGGGACTCCTGTGGTTTTTTTTTAAAACATGCCCGAAGTCCGACCTGGTTGAAACTTTTAGGGTAGCTTTTGTTGTGTTTTACGTCGAATAAAAGCGGTTGGCCCAGTGACATCGGAGCCACTTGACGTCCACTTTTTGCACCCGTCGTTGTATTCGAGGCCCGTGCAACATTATCGCTCTTATTGCGGCTCATTGCACTGTCTTACATGTAATTGTATCTGCTGAAAAAAAGGGGCAAATAGGCGTCTGTCCGACTTTGTGTGTTTTTGTGAGTATATTTGTTCTCAACACGGCGTTTAGCCTTTGTTTCGTTAAAAAACTAATTCCACAGAGATAATCTTAGGATTCCATTTTATTTAAAGCGTTCACTGTATACGCTGATCCCCTTCACGTTGTTTTGCTCTCAAGTGGGCTTAAAACGTTATAGAAATCTGTCAGCAACGGTGACAAAAACATGTGGAAGTGTAGGTGGCTCGAAAATGCATAATTTCGGAACTATTGGGTGCACTTAGTGTCGTTTACCTTTCACTTATTCCTACGGTTCTAGCAAAGAAGTAGGCTGTGCTTCATTTGTGAAACGGCGGAAATGCAGGTAAACATCGTCGAGATGTCCCCTCTAGTGACGTGGAGACGTGGTTTTATTACGGGTCGAATGAAAATCGGGTGGCTTTGTTGCCTTAACTTGTGAATATGTTGTAGTCGGCACTTCTTCACTCCCCTTAGTGGCTCCCTTACTTCTAATCAGAACTTGGGTCCGTACGCTAGTCCGGGTTTCAAATCGATTTGAGAAAGACTAAAATCATTTCCCACTGCATTGTAAACCACACGCGTTAACATACGCATTTACCTGTGAAACCTGTGCTTTAGTCACTGCAAGTGCACACGGTGACTCATGAATGGTTTCTATTCGATCACAACCACCCGTCTTCACGTGGCCCGCTGTAAACGCACATCATTCCTTCAATTGTCCACTTTCCTTAGGCAATGCTAACGCAAAATATTCACACGATTTATTCCAAGTAACTTTCGTATCAGTTGTTTACATCCCTTTGGGAATCACAGTAATCAGTGAATCGTGTTTTTTGGACGCTCCATCAAAACCATTTTATAGATCATAGACGAAAAGTACTGGCAATCGCAAGTGTAATTAAAGTTTTTTCATTAAAGTTGCATTAAAGTTTTTCATGCTGAAATTTCACTGCAGCTACTTTCTGAATAGGACTGTTTAATTGACTAGGCCGCGACATCGATTTGAAAAAAAAGATGAGTAAAAAAGCGAATTACTTTCGCTAGCAATGGACATTAGTAATTTTTAAAACCATTCAGATGCTGGCATTTTTAACATTATTCCGTCCGCAGGTGTGGTTTGCCCTCAAGACTTGCCTATTTCCAATCGCACTGGCTGCCGTAGTCTTCTTTTGGCGTCGAGTTTCTGCACTTCAGCGTTCACCCACGTTGATGGAACGCACTGTATTTGCCCTCGGTTTGGTGCTTTGTATCTTTAACTGTCCGGTGGAGTGGCTGTCCCTCAAGTGAGTGATACGTTGATGTTGAAATTTTCATCTGCACTCTTTATGCGTGGACTTTTAACACGCTCGAACGTTTGATAGGTTAGGTTGGTGATTGCTACCTCAATAACATCATAGCAGTTGTACAACATATATGTTTGAAACATCTATCTACCTTGGTCAAGTCCTAATGACTCCGTAGGCATTTCCTACCTCAGCCCATCATTGTATCCTGTACACCGGTTGCGAAAGCGAATAAATTTAAATTGGCTATATTTCAGTGACATGTCCTGCCACTATAGTGTTTTGAACTTACCTGAGGCTTATGCCCTCTGAAACATTTGAGCCAAATGTCGTTAGGGGTCATAAACGTGCAGTAAACCAAACATGTGTCCAATTTACTAGAATAGAAATTAATCTAGTTACTTCAGCTATCTGTTTTGATTTATATCCTCATCTTCCTTAATTCTCACTACTGATTTTACTTGTATAAGAAACAATTTCTACCAGAAATATCCTATCAATTACAAATTTTGGTGACGTAGTTTGGTTCATTCAGTAGATTCTGGTGCCAGTCTACTTATTTATGATTTTACGGAAAGCACGATTAAGTGCTACGGTAATCATCTCACTTAACTACCCAAATAGGTACGATGTCTTCTTTTGGTTGGTACTCTCTGACCTTCGCCAGGGTGCCTTCTACGCTACTTTGGCTTGCTTTTGGCTCGTATTCACAGGGGAGCACTTAATGGATGCGCCTCACGGCCAACGTAGCCGCACTAGACTCGGCCTCTCGGTGTATTACTGGCCAAAATTGCTTCTTGTTGGTGGTTGTTGCTCCGCCATGAGCATATTCGAATTAGCCGAACGCGGTGTTCAACTGCATAATCCATTCTACAGGTACATCGCTTTATTACTGGTTTAATCTACTGGAATTGCGTACTATTAATGTAAAAAGATATCTAACAGGCAAAAATAACGAGTGCCACGATTTAGCGCAATCCATTTTCCATTCAATGACGTTGAAATTGCAGTGGTAAATATGCACAATTTTTACTCTTTGAATAGTGTGGTTTCATCCATAGCCTAAAATAAACTGGTTATTATGCTCTATAGGCTTGATATGTCTAGTTTGAAGTTTAGGTAACTTTGCGTTTTCTGTTACACTTTCTAGTATATGGTCACACCCGGCCGCTGCAAAACTGGGCTATGCGAGTGTTATTTTTGGCGGACTGTGTGCCTCCGTCTACTTCATCTATCTCGCCGTGCTGGTGTTCCGGGCACTCTGGCAAATTTTCACTAAACGTCGTCTACTGCCTGCCCTGCAACCTGATCAGCGCGTTTATTACGGCGGTCTCATCTATCGTTTCACCACTCTTCTTGTCTACACCATCTTCTGTGCCGCACTCACCGTCGTCTTTTATATTTTTAGTCAGGTTAGTTTCATCTACTTTCTGACTCGTGGATTTAGGCTTTTTGTGTGCACGCCATTACCCTCTCTCAAGGAGATGAATTAAGTAATGTTACTTAAATCAAGGACTCTCATCCATTAATGAGTGTACTGTCGCAGAAACTGTCAATTTTAATTTGCGGTTGGTTAAGAATTAAGTTTTAGATTAATCTAAGGGCTAGGATTTGCACCAAGACGCAGCTGTTCGATTCGGTTTTGGTGACCTTTTTTCACTTTCAAGGCCACTAGCTTCCGACCTAGGAAAGTATGTGGGGATATGCTCATTTCCTTATATTTACGTGAATAATGTTTGATCCTATTACACTGTCATCATGTGTAAATATTCCGTTTTCCGAATTTCGAGTTTGAAAGTGTTTTTGTCTGCTTTATTTGTCACTGCCGTGTATCCTCAACACGGACACACCACCAAACTAGCTTGTTCCTACTAATTCATGCTATTTTTGCTTTGGCCACTTACGTTGGCCTAACCCGCCGCTATAAGTTCGTCTGTCTAGTCTGGTATGCTTGCGCAAAACACGGCAACCACTTTTATTACCTCCTTCGTGCCTGTTGGCCGGCCCACTGTGGGCGCCTTCAAATGCGCGCACACACCGAGGCCGTCTAGCATGGCTTGGCTGTGTGCGCGTTTGTGTCACCTCTGGCAGGTTTTAGGGGCAGTGAGCCCGTTAGTGGCGTGTGTCGTTTACGGCACAAAAATTTCCAATGTGGCGATCAAGCATTTCAAGCGTGCAGCGACTGCACCTGCGAACATCCTCGTCCACCTTATTTTCACCTCACCATCTAAACGTAGTATCCAGGTTTGTCAAATCAGGAAAAAGGGAATCGTAGACTTTGACAAAACTATTAGCTTTCAGTGGAAATTGAAAACATACACAAAGTTACCTCCTTTTAATGCAACTTTACCAAGTTCGTGTCAACTTATAGTAATGCTGCTACGTAGCAATTTCAATAATTGTTGTCTCCACTTTACGAAAGCTTCATTTTAGGTAACTAGTAAAGGTAGAATTCTTACATCGCTATGAATTAAATCACGCAAGCCCGTTCTTCTAAAATGCACGAGGGATTTTTTAAGGAGGCGTTTATAGTGAACGAACTATTCTGCTGAATACGCAAAATTCGGTTTTCAGTTTGTATCAGTCTTCAACAGATTAAAATGCAAGTTTCACGAACACACTCTCCATCACTTTGATGTCAATAAGGCGGTAGTTGTGGTCCTGTGACGGATAAAAAGGCCGAACCGCCATGTTGTTGGCCATGGGAAAAATAGGGCCCAACACACTCAGCGTTCATGGTTAGCCCGTATGCTAGATTTTCCCCAAGTGGGTAAGACCATTTAATAGACGTGCACAGAACGCCAGTCTGAGAATATTACTGTTTTTTCGCAGCACACGCGCCCCACGTGCCTTCTATCCGGACAATTGTTTAATCACACATGCTAAACTCTTCCCCCCTAGACTACCGTACCCTTTGTAATAAGGTGAACCGACTGGTAATGCAAACATCTTGGTTCACAGGTCCACCATTCTCCAAGAAATCGTAACAGAAGTATTGGGGTGTTGCGACGTAAGCTTTGAAAAATTCCTTAAAGGACGCCACACTTTCATAGCATCATGTAACCAGGATGTCATACATCTGTGTCTGCTTATTGGTCGTCGTCATTACTATTCCCAAATAATCGATCCCATCACATTGAGTTAATTTACTTGTTGCTTTGGCATGGATTTTAAGCCGGTTTAACTGTGAGCGAATTTTTAGAACCGTCGAGGTGCCTGTTCTGAGGACTTATTGGTATCGACCAAACGGTAGTTCACTAACGTCCGGAGGCGAAAATTTTTCGCCGTCTCATATTACTCGATAAGATCTTTTTGTGTCGTTTTACTGAAATCCACCTATCTCTGAACATATCGAATTATATTAAATTGATTGATTTAATTTGGAACTATGTCCTAAAGAAAACGCCCTACCAACTTCCCACTTAACAAGTTGAGGTCAAGTATTCGAATATTATTGATTCCTATCTACTCTCTTGTGGCGATCGTATTTAAAGGTCTTCAAGTTCCGGAAGATCCCTCCTTTGTGTTCATTTCGTTATTTTGTATGTGATCGCTCCAACCGTACACATAGTCCTCCAAGCTGCAATAGCTCAAGTTCAACCTAAGGCTCGGCAGACGCTTTGGAGAAAAATTTCGTACATGAAATACCCATTGTCCTTCGTGGTGTGCCTCGTTAGCCAAATTTGAATCGACTTGTTTTGGTGTTTGTTTTCTTTCAATTTTGAGTTACATCGTCTTATCACCTTAGGCATTCAAGTCGTTCGGTTCTTTGTAAAATGGCCAATCCCAAATCATCCCCCATTAACTGCAAATCCTGCCTTAGTTATTGATGATCTTATCTCGATTATCTCGTGTTAAAATAGGCTGAAAACTGCAAAATTTTGTAAATGAGTCCTATTTGTTTATGTGCCACTGTTATTAAATAATTTAGCAAAATTATGCTAAAATTTAATGGTTATTTTTCGACGTAAAGTCACTGTTGTTGACAAAACTGCATGAATATTAGTTCAGGCAGTAGTTATGACGTATATCTGCATGTTTATCCCTGTGTTTCGGACCTAGGCAAATGAGGAGCAATGGAAGTGGGGTAGTAATCATATCGAGTACACATCAGCATTCATCACAGGTGTGTACGGGATGTGGAATGCCTACGTGATCACCATCCTGTGCCTTTATGCTCCATCAAACAAATTCCGGTCTTCCGCTAGTAGCAGTCAGATGCTAGAACATCTCGTGGAGGACGAGGCTTCTAAAACCCCCTCAGGAACTGAAAGCCAAATTGGGACGACATCTAAACAGCTGGCGAATTCTTTGAACGAAGGCATCAATCTCGTCTCTGTCCAGGGGTTCTCATTCTTTAAAAAGTCGGCCCAGGAGTAAAACTCTGCATGCATGTTCTTTGAACACTTGAGACAATCGTTTTCTCCCCACTTGCTTGCATTTTACTGTAATTGAACAGTCGGACTTGTTTTAGCTTTTACGCACATGTGCATTTTTACGTATTCTCTTTCAGCAAAACATTATAAGAATCTTCTTTATTGTAATTTTGTGGCGTACCGTTTTATGTGCTCATTTTCAGCTTTGCGCAACGGACGTTTGAATGATAATTTATAATCATGGAACCCTAGAGCCTTTTGGAAGTTTTATAAGAATCCGACGAGTAAAGTGCATTATGGTCATGTCATAATTTTTGTACTATCGAAAACGGAAGCGAGTTTGATAGCTTGTTATAAACTGTGCATGTACCACGAATCACTCCATCATGCGTTCACCGTGATTTCCTCAATGTCGGAAATCTACCAGGTTTGTAATTTTACCACAACCTCCTAAACCTTTTAACTCCAGAGCGACGGAAGAGCACCATCGATAAAAACGACTGAAGCGCTCTTAATTGAACATTTAATTATTTGCAGTTAACTTACGTATAATGCCAAAGAACAGCAAAGATATCAGGCTACATTAGTAGTTGACTTAGGTCGATGCTCAGTGACAAAAGAACTGAAAAGTACCATATTGTACATATGGAAACAGTACATCGAGCATTAGGCAACTACGCAAATAGGTGGTTGTTTTCGTTATCTGTCGGCATCATCCAAAATTGGAATTACATTAAGGGAACCTTGGATTCCGGGATCTCTCAGTCAGTCAGTCTCGCGTTACTTTGACACTTGACTCTAATGGAACCTCAGCTGGGCCATTTATTTATTTAATTTTTTGAGTTGGATCTTTGCGCCTACTCGAAGTGGTTCCGTTTGAGAGCTTATCGTTGGTGATTTACATAAAGTTCTACTACAGTTTGCTGTAGTTACATTCGCAGTATTATCCCGAGATCGCCTGCTCCTTAAATTCGGTAAATGATGTTTTCATTGTTTTAGGAACCCCTACCCTTAGCTCAATTTATAGATAACGTTTAAACTATTGTTTTGATGTCATTTTTTTTCTAACGTTCATTAACATTACATTTTAATTGCTGGGTTGAGGATATAATGAAAGACATGATGGCCGGGCCTTACATTTGAGGTAGCTTATAAGTAAAAGCCCCCTCGAGTGGATCTATCTCTAGAGGACTGACATCAGTGTTGGACATCGTACTGCTAAATATCCTTCCTTACACGAACTCTAAAATTATGCCCATGCGTACAACATAGTAGAATGCTTAACGATTGCTTGAAGAATAGTTCCATTGCCTTTTCGCCCTTCTTCCGGTTCTAGGATTTTATGGATGTCAATGAATGACAGAATTATAAGATGGGTTGTTAATTGCAACACATCCTAGAACCATCGGGTTGTGGGATTATTCAAATCAAAGTTTTCTGCAAACAGGAAATGGCGAGGCGTAACCCTCCTTTTCCCTACCTTATGATGTAAAATTTTGTCAAATTAATCAGATATTCATAGATAAGGCAGATCATTATTAGTTTTTTTTTACAATGCTTCAGTGATTATGACTTCCTTCCATTTTAACTTGGTATTGAACCAAATATTTGTGATAAGATACAAGCTAGTCTTTGTTGTTGGTCAAAGAATGTTCACTTGGGTTAGCTTCGGCAAAATATTGTCTGGTAAAAGCTGATCTATTTCGTCAACCAAATTCTTGACAGATACTATAAAATTACTTTCTGTGTTATACCTCGTGTTTTTAGGGCACAATCAGCAACGCTTAATTGTCTACATTTGGTGGACAAGCAGGCCCTATTCAAGCACATGCTTGAAGGAAAAGGCATTTGAGAAAATAATTTGTTCTCGATCTGTGCTTCTGAAGTAACCGCTTGATAAAAACACATGTTAATAATTTCGTATGCGCAGCGACCCAGATATAATCGAATTAACCACACAAAAATAATAATTGAAGCAAATTTGTACTACAATCTCATACCTCATGTGCTGGATGTAAGCCACCATGTGAAATACGAATGCAGCGGTGCTCAGATTCAATAAATCGTAATTCAATTACGCCATGGCCACCCTGGAAACCACATATGCGTAAAAGATGGGCATCAAATATTCAATTTTCGGCATTGGGAAAAATCCCGCACCATATGTTCCCTTAGGACAATACTGTGGGATTGTCGTTGCCACCAGAGCTTTGTTACTTGCAGCCATTGGACGCTTTTTTATTTTGGTGTTGGACTGAAATTTCACAGGAGAATGCCAATTAGCAGCCTTAATTTTCAAACTGACGTGGAAACTATGCAGAGACTATTTTGATTAAAAGGTTCTGTCCTTTTAGCTTTCAGGGAAAATTCTGTTAATTGGCACTGACGACAAGGGGGTTTGTCCACTTGGATTATTGATTTACTACAGTAAAATATTTTAACAAAAATTGCTAAATGAGGATTTAAATACCTTTGAATTGCTTAAATAAATAACAGTATACACTGTGTTTGCATCAAGGTAATGTAACGATTTCCAGACTCTGTCATTCAATGCACAAACTATATGATAAAGGGATACTACTGACTGAAATTTATGAATACTAAGCAACGGTTGGCACGGGTCTTGAACTCACGAGAAGGTTAATAGATATCATAAACCTACACAGAGATTTGACCTGCCCCACTGTAAAGGAAATGCTCACTTGACCTTCCAGGAAGTGCTAAAGGAAATGCTCACTTGACCTTTCATAACGTAAGATTTTACTAAGCTTCCGTTTATTGTACTGTGCTAGTTTTAACATTCTGTCATAGTCTGAAATGTAATATACGTTGTATCCGTACTGAACGTAAATTAACTTCATTCTCAATTTCCTTAAGGAAATAACCATGTCTATTTTTTCCAGTATTTCGAGTTTTTTGAAGATAATTTCAGCTCAGCTGGGTACACCAAATTACAATAAATAGCTGTTATGGCTCATGTGCAAATGAACATAAGAGAAACCAAATATTTGATTTGCATGTCTTATCGGAAAGCCTAGTGGTCATGTCTCTATAGTACAATCATACTTTTATTAAACGCTTGGGCTCGTGGAATTATTAAAATACTCGCTGCTAACTTCGAACTACGCATAAATATTGGGCTTTACTAATGTAGGCTAACACTAGCAAAATTCTACGATTTTTCTTATATGCAAGTTTTAAGCATTGCAAAATAATTATTAAAAGGAATTTGAAGCCTTTGAATTTACGTGTTACGAATGCTGAAAAAGCGTTCGTTTACGGAATAAAGATAAGAAACAAAAGTTGCAGTGTCACAAATCCCGGAACTGATTGTTGATATCTAGACATGTTGATTTTCAATTTTATGCTGTACGTTATTAGAATCATTAATTTAAAGCTTTCACTATAAAATTACCGTTAATCAGAAACAACTTTTTAGTAAGTGACAATGAAGTCAAATGGCCTATAATATTCGAAGTCCCATCAATGACAAGCCATAATATGCATTCTACCTTCAAATAACGGGTTTGGTAAAATTATAAAACTGTTTTAAGAAGTTTAATTTTTCGCATGTATATCGTTCTCAAAGTTCCAAATTATTACGAAGACAAAAAGAAAAACGACATTATGGCCTTGAAAAAAAAGTCATTTAAATTTTTGCTTCAATAAAGATGTTGGTTTTGCATTTATAAGTGGCTTCGAAACCTGTGCCAATTATTTCACACTAGGTACATCGGCGTCCTAAAACGCATCAAATTAAATTTTATCTCCACGTGTGTGTCCCATTTCTAACAAACGATAAGTTCATGCATCAATATAGCTGCTGTGACAGCTACTCATTAGTGATTACCTCAATTTTGATTGGTAATTCTGTCAGCAAGGCCTTAATTTCTTCGTCAATGTTCTCACTTTAGTCATTTGACTGCTCTGAATTTCTGAAGTAGTTGCCAAAATGGATCTAAGAAGATATCAGCTCATTTTCATCTTTCTCATCTTCTTGGAAATTGTAAAAGGAGGTAAGAATGTGTTGATTTATTTATTTTACAATGTTATTGTAAACATGAATGTATTTCGCGGAAGTCGTCGAATCAGTTTGAACATAAAATCTTAGAAACATTAACAAGAACTTTGGTTTAAGAAATATAAGTCCTTTAAAAACTATTGGCACGCAATAATAGAGTGGATTTACTATTAGAAATTTTAGACTTTATGATTATTAAATTCACTAGAGCTTGACAGCTAAATAGGAATCTGCTGTCATTGCAACCTCCCTGATGCTTTATAACGTGAGCCAGTTCAGATATTTAGAAAATATTGAAGCTCATATAATGTCTTTAAAAACTGTCAGCGCAAAGCAATATTTAAAAATCATGCAAGGTTTCGCGGCAGCGTGCTGATAAAAGCATACGTTGGCGGAATTACAAATCGGTAAGTTCCAGTCAGCACAAAAAATGATTTTTAATGCACAAAAGGAGTTCTGCAATCGCATTCACTAATACAGAATGCAAACCAGTCTGCTCCGTGCTCCGGAAATAAATACTTCCGCTACAGATAAAAGGATATTCGGCACAAAATCTAAAGAACATAATGACGATCTAAACCAATATCAGGAAAAAAAGAATCAAAAAATGCACCGAGAAAAGAATAGTGTCTAGCGATTTCTTGCAGGAAATTATAACCATTTATATGCAAAAAAAGACATCAGAAAAGAAAAAAAGCAGAGAAATGTAAGAAAAGAAAAAAAGTTAAAAAATAAAGAAAATAAGGAAAACATTCAAAAAAATGGAAAAATAGGATATATAACAAAGGCAAAAAAGGAAGAGAAACAAAAAAAACCCAGAAAAAATTAGAAACAAAAAAGGAATATAGAAAAAAAAGGAGAAGAAACGCCAATAGATTAAAATACGAAAACAAAAACAGAAATGAAAAGGCTGTCGCCAGCACCGTCTTCTTCATGGGCACCGACGACCTCGAGAGGTGCTTCATCTGAGACCACAGAAATTG